ATTTAAAAACATTTTTAAAAAGGAATATATGGAACAAGGATAATGGACACTGCCCAATTCTGAACCTCTACATATATACTCCATAAATAATACAGGACAAAAAGAAAAACATAACTATACAAAACCCACACAATCGGCATTAACTAGAAAGCAGAAAATGACTGAACTTCAAAATGCTTGTTAAAAAGACCAGATTCATTTGCACACTCTTTCATGCTCCAAAAACTTTAGGGAAAATAAGTTCTAAATTTATTTAAAATGACTAACAGAGAAAATGCTCACCCTACTTGTGAAAATAATGGGGGGGGGAGCATTTTCCATGAGCTTCCTTGTGTCAGTTATTTAATAGCTTCTATTTTTCCATTCGTGTTTGAAGCAAACTATTTAGTTTTTATGTAGATTCTATATTATACTGATACTTCAAATTATGCTTAAGGACAGTAACAAAATCAGTCTGTGGAAAATAAAATCATGTGATAGATTAAAACTCAATTCTCAGTAATCTTAAATCTGGGTATCTGCAAAAGAAAATAGGGGGAGGGGGCATAGGCAAGGCAGTGTCCTAAGTCATAGCCAAGATCACAGCCAACAACTGGCAGAAGCAGTCCAGTGAGCATCATAATACCTCTGCTCAGATCACCAAAAGTATAGCACTGGTCACTGCTACTGCCTCTGTTGCTACTATTGCTTCCAAAACTGCTGAAAGTTTCCACTGAAGCTTCTTTCTCTCTTGAAAAAAAAAAAAAAAGGGATTCTCCACTGCCTCTCGTTTTGTGTCATTAAATCAAAATTAGAAATCTTGAGTTGATGCAGTTGGTTTGCTTGGAAAGGTCATGTTGTCACTCCTTAGACCCATGAGACCCTGGAAGATCGTTATCTACATTAGCTTTCCTTTCCACTTCTTTTGCAGGAGGACTCCTACCATGATTCATACAATGACAAATTTTCTAAATCAGTGTAGAAGATCGCCATGCCAAGCAGCAGCACCTCCTCCCCTCCAAATTAATGTCCACTATGCTAGCTCACCTTCAATTTTACAAAAACTTCCAAAATATTTGAGTTTGACAACATTTACAATAAAGAAAATTTCCAGGCAATTCCACATGACATCAGCCTGTCAGTTACTCAGTGAAACAGTTTACCCTAGTGGTTTTTGGATATCTCTAAGGTAGCTATACTGAGGTAGCAATTGTTTACACTTATCTGAAAATTTATAGCTTATAAACACTTTTGTGGTATAGTTTAAAGATACCCAAATTTAGATTTAGAAACACCTGAGTTAGCATCTCCCTTTACCACCTAACTAGCTATACAGTGATGGAGAAATCATGAAACTCATCAATCCCTGTTCCCTCACAGGGATAATATGTGAGAATATGAGATCATAGAATTAGACACCTCTAGTTCAGTGCCTCTCAAATGATAGTCACTCAGTAATTGTAACTATAATTAAAATTGCCATTATTGTTATGATAAATACTGGCCTAGGTTCAAATGTTTGAAATTTGTTTTAAGGAGAATATTTTTCAAAAGAATGCATCTCTTTTCCCTACACTGATGCTGCTGTATGCTCCTTTCAACTCATGTCCAAGAGAACTGGGGTTTGCACTCGAATCAACAATATAAACTATCAGTACAACTGGAACTTGTTAGAAGCCAAGTCTGAGGTGACTTTGATACAATTTTTGCCAAAAGCTTACTTTAGCTCTTCAGATTTTTAGAAAGGCATTCTAATAGACAGATTAACTATTAATCTTTCTATATTTTTCAGGCTTTCATATTATATTAAGATCATTCACTGGAAAGCATAGTGCCTGACCATATTTTATAAATTCCCCACAGAAATGCTTTCACTGAATTATGAGGTAATGATCAATAATTTAAAGTCTGCACTCAGCCATCTAAAAGTCGGATGCAAGCCAGTTCCATTTGATAATGCTTGCTTTTCTTTGTCATACCATAGAAGAGAATGCCCACTCTCCATTCATTCACCTAGTCAACAACCCAGAGTGGTTTCATTCAGCATCAAAATCATTACTAGAGATGACTTCTGGGTTAACTGACTGGATTGGGAGAGAGAATTAGCACTGGCAAAATCAGTACTATGGCCCAGGATTTCGGTATATGGTCTGGTTTCATATTTGTGACCTTGTGAGATACATAAGGGATTCCAAAGTTTACATATGAAGGAAGTATGACAATCTATGTTATCAAGGTCTTGTAGCTAGTAGGTGACATATTAAGGAATCAAAGATTATTTTGCTATGTAGGAGGTGATAACAGGAAAAGAATATTATATTTGGACAATGTAATAAGAAGACTGGCTTGCAGGGGCACCTGGCTGGCTCAGTTAGTGGAGCATGTGGCTCTTGATCTTGGGGTCGTGAGTTTGAGCCCCACATTGGGTGTAGAGATTATTTTAATAAATAAGCTTAAAAAAAAAAAGACTGGCTTGCAAATTTAATTTTGAGGTTTCGATGGAAAGTGTTCAAAAATATTTGCAGTAATAACAGCATCTTTGCAATAAGTTTGAACCTCCCTTTGTATTTACTTTTAAGGACAATATTCTTTACATATATAAGCTTAATAATATTTGTTAGCTGTTATAGTGGATCCTAAAAATATAAGATATAAGAGGTACCTTTATTGTAATTTGAAAAGAAAAAAGACGCTTTTGATTTTGTTAATTCAGTGCTGCATAGGTTCAGTTTAGCTAATGGTTAGCCCAGAGTTTTAGGTCATGTACTCTGTGAAAATTCAATCCAAAGATTTTACGATTGGAAAGTTCTAAAATTATAAGGTTGCAACCAATCAATATTTGGACCCATTTAAATTATTCTACCCAACTGTCAAGGAGTGTGTGCTTTCATATTGCTACTTACAAGGAAGAATTAATGTCCACATCAACCTGTTCCATGTCTTGACAGCTATTAAAAAGTACTTTATTATTTTAAGCCAAATGTATTCTGCTGCAGCTCAGTGTTCCTAGTTCATCTTTTCTTTTTATTAAAAATATTTAAATTTAATTTCTCTTCTATTGTGAGAATCATTGAGATATTAGTAATCAACAGTGTTCCACTTGACTCTTTTCTACTTTCAACTAACATATACTCCCTCCATTCTTTTAACTGGTCTATAGATAGTGTGATTTGAGTCTAATCAAAATTCTGATCCCATATGAAGACCCTTCAGTTTACACACAGGCTTCTCAGGTGTGGTCATGGAATGCAGCAAAATAAAGACTGCCTCCTCCGTCTTCCTTCTAAACAGACAGAAGTTCTATTAGGGTTTTTTGGCAGAAAAAAAACAGTATTGATTTATATTACAATTATTATTAAGTAAAACCCCTTGGCAGTTTTTTGTGCTGCAAAAACATACCTATTGCATTGTATAGATGGGTTGTTTTGGTTCAAATTTCAAAACCTTACATGTATTCCTATTACATATTATTCTATTAAATTTGGCCCATTATCCTAAGATATAAAATCTTACATAATTGAAAATTCATATTTACTTCCCACCTATTGTGTGCCAATCACTGTACTAGGCATTTTCACCATATTATTCTACTTTATTCTTCTTTAACATGAGAAGGAATCCCAATTTTATGACTGACAGGTTCAAGAACATTAAGTAATTTTACTGACACCACTAAGAACATTAAAACAGAATTTAGGATTTGAATGTAGGTCTATTTAATTCCAAGGTTCATGATTATTTTTGTTTATACTAGTCTATAACCATGAGTTGTTAAGAAACTATTTAATATGTATTCAAGGAATTCCATGTGAGGAATACAATTTTGAAACCTCATTAAATATTTTAAATGAAGATTCCATATTTAAGAGTAAACGTCAGTTATCTGTAGCTTGTATTTATAAATTGTACTAATTCAAAGCATTTTGACTCCCCTCAATAAAGTATGATATGTGAGGTGTGTTCATCAGGAAATAGGATGGAGAAAATCAGCAAAAGAACATATTTTTGTGTGAGAGAATAAAACAAAGTTCATGAATGGGAAATTTATACATGAAATTATATTTAATGAAAACTAACTTCAGTGGCCTGTAGGATGACTTGAAATAGGCAAAGATTTAGAACTGAGAGAAACCTGTAGAGACTACTAACACAATCCAGATATAGAATTATAAAGATGTCTACCTTCACATAGATATGTATACAATTATTTTCAACTATGTATTTAAATACTATTTAAATACATAGTTGAAAATAATTGTAAGAAAATTATTTTGTTCAGAGGAATTGATGACACAAATTTCACAAATAATTTTCAAGGTATTAAATTTGTGTATTTGTGTGTGTTTGTTTTTACTATGGTTAAAAGGTTAAAGAGCAGTTTTGGTCATTCAGGAAAACAATGATTTTTTTTTTTTTTACTTGTTAAAAATTGCATTATTGGTATGATTGCCACACAAATAATTGAGAGGAAGAGAGTGTTTCAGGAAATGTACTTGGTAGATATCCATGTACAGTAATTGAAACTCAGTGTTTGCCTATGTATTCACCAAAAACATGAATATAACAAAAAGGAAAGGCAGATTTTAAAGGATATCCGGTTACAATGTGGGAGAAAGTACTGAGTGAGGGAAATAATCAGAACTATAAGAGGAGATACAGAAGAATGGGGCCCAAAGCCAATGAAAAATGAGTTTAAGGAACAAAAGTTTAGTTAACGGTTAAATACAGCTGAGAAAGAAATAATTGGGTTTTGTTCCCCAACAATCTCTAGAACTTTAGAACTCTTTTATTATGAGGAAGAAACTGAAAAGAAGATCTCAATGAACTTACAAATAAGTATAATATCAAGCATAATAAAATCTAGTCTAACAACTCATATCTACAAAACTCGGGAATTTTCTTTGAATGTGTATATTCAGTTTGCTGCTCTCTTTCAATCATACCCTAACCATTTGCAATTTAAAATTTTTCTTTATATACCCAAATTTTATATAGAACTAAAGAAAATACATTTCTTGCAGGTACAAAATTGGAAATGGCTTCCCCAGAACAAAAGGGCCTTGTCCCCTTCACCAGAGAATCTCTTGAACTTATGAAACAGCATATTGCTAAAAAGCACAGTGAGGAACAAAGAGATTTAAAGCCAAACACTGACTTGGAAGTTGGAAAAGAGCTTCCATTTGTTTATGGGAATCTCTCTCGAGGAATGGTGTTGGAGCCCTTGGAAGATGTGGATCCATACTATAAGAATAAAAATGTAAGGCTTTATTGACCGACTACATTTTCATTATTTTTTTCAGAAGTACGAAAAGTATAATTGAGATATGATTTAAAAAGAATGAAAAGTAAATCAAACTTATTTTAAGTTGTAAAAAAATGGATAAGAAATTTCACAAATATTTAGGATTTTTATCAAATCTGATGGCTTTCCTGTTAGGTTAGTTTGTTGGAAGTTACTCTCCTTTTAATAGGCTATACTGTGATGCCTTAATGTAAATGACTTGTTTTGTGGGAGCATGTTGACTGGCTACTTAAGGTTACTGATTTTAAAAGAACTATAATATAACATTTTTATAATATGTACAACAATTTTAAATGTTCAACTGAATAAGCTTATTCAGTAGTTGAGAAAATAAACCAACCTATATTCCTATATTTTATTTACCATTTTTATTAATTCATACATTCGCACCCTATCTTATTCCGGGAATGACTTGAGGAGCAAACTAAATATTTGAACAATTCCAAAACAAGCACAAAAATGATGAAAATAAGAATAATTATGCTTAGTAAAACCAGAGATCTGTGTGGGTTGACAAAGCTGGAAGAGTCTTCCTTAAGAAAATAGAATTTGAATTACAGCTTGGAGAACACTTCACATTTTAACAGTGCAAAGGGAAGATCTTGATATTAGTTGGAATAGAGAAGAGACAGGGTATGATAGAACTCGACCCCTATTGCAAGTGTGGGAAATGAAAGAATGAGGAAATGAAGATGCCAACATGGATTTAACGTGATGGCCAAAAGACTGATGTGATGAATGCAATGTTTAAGTAAGTTTAATCTAAGACTTCTAAATTACTATTGCATAGAAAAGCTAGGGTCAGAAAGATGGTATAAGAAACAGAGTAATCGAGTCCTGAAGTCAAGAGACCTGATTATAGGAGGATCTTGGAGGAGGGAAAAATGTAACAAACCTGAGAAGAAACAACAGGATTTGAAGACAGACTAATAATCCAAAAACTTCTAACCTGGAATAATGGTGGTGCTACTTATAAAATTGAAATAATTCTAAAAAAGATTAAGCTTGGGAGATATGAAGATTAGCTCTGTTGTGGACAAATGTAATTTGATATTCATAATATTACCAAATGGGCAAAATGGAATTGAACCAAAGTCTCTAGATGGAAGACAAAGTGATGATTTTGCATAAACATAACTCTTTCAAATATTTTGCATGATGGAAAAGTATTGGCATTGTAAATGTATTTATTAACAAAGACTCCAGTATCTCTTGTAGCTTCCATGGGCATTATGTAACATTAGCTGTAAAACACCTGTAAAATCTTCAGAATATTTTAGTGAAAACGTAAGTTGTCATCTCAATTATCTCTGTTTTCACTTTTGCTATGCTTAAGTCCTAATAGTTGACTTAGCATAATAACCTTAGAAATAACTCTAATCTAGCAGAGTTCTGAGTTCTTTGTAGTGTTTACAGATATGGTAGGCAAATCTAAGTTTGTTATTGAAGACAAAACCAAGGATTTTGAAAAATGAAACATGCCAAAAATTGTAAGGATAGTTTGTATAAGAAGAATTAATATTAATGATGATACAAAGTATTAAAAATATGAATTATATTGAGTTTATTCTGTTAAGGGTGGCATACCAACAAATAATCCTAAAATTAAATCATTTCAGCACTTAAACATTAACTGGAAAATTGTTATGTCTGGAATCACTCATTTCTTCACAAAAACATAGGCTAGTTGATTGCACATATATTACCTCTTTTTTTTTTAAGATTTATTTTTTTATTTCAGAGAGTGAGGGAGAGTGAAAGAGCATGGGGGAGGGGAGGAGCAGAAAGAATCTTAAGCAGACTCCATGCTGAGCACAGAGCCTGACCCTGGGCTCGATCTCCCAACCCTGAGATCAGGACCTGAACCAAAATCAAGAGTCAGATGCTTAACCAACTGCACCACACTGGTGCCCCATACATACATTACCTCTTGTAAGAATATTGATATTCTTCTGGGAAATAACAAAAAGCACATTTTAAATAATCAGATTTTGGGGAACCCTTTTATTTTATTTTTGCATTTGAAATGGAAAGAGGGTAAATAACTATAATACATGCCAAAATGTCCACAAACTGTATATTGGAAAAGTGTTTTAGTGAGAATTATAACACAGTTGGTTTCCATTTAGAACATGTTTTCATAAATTATCAATGGATATATAATTGTTTTCACTAATATATTTATATATATAGACAAAAATATAAATGCCAATATACAGTCACCATAGATACCTCTAATATATAATTATATATCACATACAATATACTTAAGTATATAATAGATTATACTTATACATATATCATTTAGTATACTGTATTATATCATATTACATTGTATACTATATATTATACAATGTTATAATGGGCATAATATCATGTATAATGTATTTTTACTCACACCATCATAAATGAATTTTCCAAATGGATATGTATATATGGTAAAAGTGTATATATGATGTATACACACATACATACATAGGTAGATACATTTTAATTTCTTTTTTTAATTTTTTTAAAATTTTTTTTAAAGATTTTATTTATTTATTTGACAGAGAGAGAGAGAGAGATCACAAGTAGGCAGAGAGGCAGGCAGAGAGAGGAGGAAGCAGGCTCCCTGCCGAGCAGAGAGCCCGATGTGGGGCTCGATCCCAGGTCCTTGGGATCATGACCTGAGCCTAAGGCAGAGGCTTTAACCCACTGAGCCACTCAGGCGCCCCCCCCCCCGCCTTTTTAAAAGATTTTATATATTTACTTGAGAGAGATAGAGGGATCACAAGTAGGCAGAGAGGCAGGCACAGAGTAGGGGGGAAGCAGGCTCCCTACTGAGCAGAGAGTCTGATGCAGGGCTAGATCCCAGTACACTGAGATCATGACCTGAGCTGAAGGCAGAGGCTTAACCCACTGAGCCACCCAGGTGCCCTAACACTTTTTAATTGCTATATTATATTATAGATACACACATACATATGTACACATGTACATGTATAAGTCATTTTTAGGATATTTCTGATCTTTCATTAGTTTTGGATTTAATGCTTCTGTATCCCAATATATTAGTTTTACGTGATGTAACTTTCTCTTTTAGGTATGTTTGTGTCAATGATAACATATAAATGGAGTTTTATACCTTGGATAATTACTAGTGATTACTAAAATATCTTGGTGAATGGGGTCATTTTTGCTGTTGTAATCACACACATTTTTTGCTTTGAAATAAAAGTAACTTTTTTTATATTCACTAAATTTGGGTTTCTTTAAATGCATCTTCATGAGCCATTAGGATATAGATTTCTTCCTATTACATTTGTTCTGCAGGAAGACTTGAGGATTGGAGTGTGGCAAATGGCTTTGTTAGGCAGAACATTGGAAAAAAAAAGTTATATAATCCTAAATATCAATGAAAATGTTTAAAAGAAATCTTTCCACTTGATTTAGTCTGTAAAACAATATCAAAATATAAGAAAAGTGTAACAGCTAAAATTCAGTTGAAATGATCATTGGCAATAATTTGCATAATGGATGAGTTTATAGTTCCTAGTTGTAATTTTACTTGATTTTTTTTCATTTTATAGACTTTCATGGTATTAAATAAAAGTAGAACAATCTTCAGATTCAGTGCCACGTGGTGTACACTTTCTCCTTTCAATTCAGCTAGAAGAACAACGATTAAGATTTTGGTGCATCCATATCCTTTTCTGTTGGCTTTAGACTGTACCAGTATCAAATGTGACTATTCTATTCAAATATTGCTGCAGTGTTTTTCTCTTTTAAATTATATCTCATTTTAGGTCATATTGGAATCTGGATTACAACTGCACCAAGTGTTCCATATTTGAAAATACATTTATAGTTTATTTTCTAGTACATTCAACAGTAGTAAATATTAACAAATCTTAATCCTCCTTGTTTTTCAATATGAATAGTATTCTTTTTGATATTTAAAGAGTTATTTTATCTCATGTATATACATATAAACCTGTTAAAGAAACATATATTTCCAATATTATTTTATCCATTATTCCTTGACTGTAACTTACCTTTTTCCAACTATTCATTTTAATTAGCGTCCTGATTGACTGCATATTTATGTCCATGACTGAGATGCCAAAATGGGGCTCAGCAATACAGTAAGTCATATAATTTTATTATACATTATTTCACATATGATTTTATATTATATTTAACATGTTGCATTATAGTACTTTATATACTACATATTTAACATTTTATAACTTATTATTTATATTTAATATATAATATTCCTTGTAATAAAAACTCATTCTTCATAATATAATATTTATACATATAACACAGTTTATGGATTTTCCAAGTAAAAATAAATCACATATATATCAGTTAATAAATTTTAATGTTTTTCTGCCCTTTTGTTTATTCTTAGTTGGACTTTAAATGCTGCTATTTCTCAGGGTGCCTGGGTGGCTCAGTGGGTTAAAGCCTCTGCCTTCAGCTCACGTCATGATCCCAGGGTCCTGGGATTGAGCCCCACATGGGGCTGTCTGCTCAGCAGGGAGCCTGCTCCCCCTGCCCCCGCCTGCCTCTCTGCCTACTTCTGATCTCTCTCTCTCTGTCAAATAAATAAATAAAATCTTTAAAAAAAAAAAAAAGCTGCTGTTTCCCAACATATTATGTCAACATAATATAAGAGTTTGATTATTTAGCTAAATGTTTGTGTCTATATGAGGTTTTAGTATAAAGTTAATTAGTAATGATTAATATATTATTTCAGTGCCTCAGCTTTTCTTTACTATTGCAATTCCACACTGGATTTGCTTTAAACTCAAGTAACATTTATTCTTTTCCATTCTAAGAAAGTTATTTCTATTGCTTTCTTTCTGTTCTATTTCTTCTCTCTTTCTAGAGGGATGTGAATAGTTTGGATATTAGACCAAAATAGTGGAAAGGCCCATTAAAATTTCTAGAGAAGAAGCTTTTTTAAAAATTTATTTTATTTATGTATTTGAGAGAGAGGTGAGCATGAGCGGTGGTTAGGGGCAGAGGAAAGGGGAGTAGACTCTCCCACTGAGCAGCCAGAGGTGGGGCTCCATCCCAGGATCCTGGGAAAATGACCTGAGCCAAAGGCAGACGCTTAACTAATTGAGCCACCACCCAGCCTCCCCAAGAAGAAGCCTTTCTTGATGCTACCTCTTAGGTTTTAATTCATTCTTAAAACTAGTTAATTTTGGAAGGTGAATAGAAAAATTGATTCATTACAAAAATTCTTACATATACACATAATAAAATTAGTTTTTTCATACTTTTATAATTCAGTAAATTATTGTGTGATTTCCAATGCAGAATAAATTTGATATTTTATATTTTCATTATTTACCAAAATATATGTAAAGACAATGACTCTAGCTAGGGCTTGTTGAAAAAAAAATTGATAGTTAAATTTTATGGTTAATGTTGTAAGACATAGCCCACCCTAAAAGCCCTACTTTGTGGTTCAAGGAGCATAGATTTTTTTTTTTTTTCCTAATTGGTTAGTGGATTGGTTGGTTGACTGGTTGGTTTGCCAAATAGTAACCATAGACATATTATTTCAGAGTTGGCAATGCATTATTCTCACTTTTAACATTTATATGAAAAACTTTCTGCAGGAATATTTTGCTTGGAATTTACACATTTGAAATACTTGTAAAACTCATTGCAAGAGGCATCTGGGCAGAACCTTTTTATTTCTTTGGTGATCCATGGAACTGGCTCGATTTCAGTGTAACTTTGTTTGAGTGAGTATTTCTTCAAATTGCAAACATCTTAATACCTTGTTAAGTAAGCTTTTCATAAAGAAACTTCAGCATTTGCAAAGTTTTCTCCTTGTAAAAATTCTGCAAACAAAGAATATTTCATAATCATAGCCATTATGACTCTGAGGCAGCTCCAACTGAACTAGCCCTCAGAATGTGCGATAAAAATGAAAGGAATTAGATATTATCTGTTTTCTATCTGAAGCAAAACAACAGAGGTTGAATTTTAGAATTTTAAGTGATGATTTTCAGTGCTAAGAAGGTCTCTTGGAGACTTACAAGAATATCTGAGTATTTTTGATTTTATCTCCAACCTACATTTTGTTTAGCTACATTATTTAAGACTAGTAAACACTAGATAACAGAATATCTTACACACACACTCATGCACATACAGACACACATTTTCAAGAATGTTACATTAAATTCTAATGATTTACGTGAGTATTTTTTCAGTGTTTCTATTTGGTGTACTCTGTTCTATGGCTAAGGAAATGATCACTGGCTCCAAACTCCTGTTAAATATAATTTAAAATGATATTCCATTTTTAGGTTTGGGGTTGATTTTTTTTTGTGACTATTTTTTTTTAATTTTATTTTTTTATAAACATATGATATATTTTTATCCCCAGGGGTACAGGTCTGTGAATCGCCAGGTTTACACACTTCACAGCACTCACCATAGGGGTTGATTTTTTAAAACAACAAATAATCTTCATAAAGCACATAATCAGTGTCTGCCATGTTGTAAGCAATAAAAATTAGTAGCTAATATCATTGAAATTATTATCACTACTACTGATTACTACCATAATCATGCTGTTGCCTTTGCTGGTAGCTAATACTTAGCTAACACAGTTATTACGTAACCCCATGTGTCAGGTGCTAAGCCATGCTCTTTACATCTATGAGTTGTTTAATCACCACAAAAAGCCTTAGCATTAGGAACCATTATCCTCACTTTAATTTGAAGAAACTGAGGCAAGAAGGAATCAGTAATTTCTCCACGTCACACAGCTAGTAACTTGGGAGCCTGGATTTGTAGATAAGCATTCTGGCTACAGTCTGTGCCCTTAACCACTCTACTCCCTGCCTTCTGCTATCTTCACCATCGTCAACCCCATCATGATTATCTTCATCATGATCATCAGCAGAAACTTAAGTACTTAATCTCATTGCTTAAAAAACTATGGATTTTTCCAATTTTTAACTACCTCTTCACTGATTAAATAACAAAATATTTATGAACATAATATAGGGTATTTGGTATAGAATGACGACTAATCACAGTGTCAAGCTTTTTATAAACAGTCATAATTTGTCTGTGGGTTATTATTTACCTAGCTACCTTGCACTGTAGCAATCTTTGTCTTCCAATCAATAAAGCAACTATTTGTGAAATGGAACAATGAGAGCAAGGGAAACGTTTAGATATGTGGTTTTAAAAATAAGTTTTAAATAGTCAGTGATAAGCAGCATAAACTTAGTATGACTTCTAATAATTCTAATTTAATCCCACAGGCACATAACAAGATACTTAATTCTCGGCTCAAATACTATAATATTTAGTATTTCAAGAAATTTGAGAATTTTGAAAATTATTTCCCTAAACCAAGGTAAGAAATGGCATTTAGTTCTTGTCTTCATTTTGATTTATGTTCTACCCTGTATTCTTTTGAACCCGCCTGTAACTGCTTGGAGAAATACTAAATTGAACAGTGTTTCATCTTTGAAGTCAGTGAATTATCTGATCTGTAAGTTTATTTCAGTCACTCCAGGAAAGCCAAAAAAAAAAAAAAAATCACATTCGACTATTATTTATTTGAGATGGATTCAATTCTTAATGATAAAATAAAGAAATTAACCAAAATATATTATTTTCTATTTTTTCTTATTTATCCTTGCCTCTTAAATATGAACTTACAAAATTGTCCTTAGACTTCTGAGAGAGATAGCAATCTAGACAGGTACCTAATATGCCTTCTTTTCCTCACTGTATCTAAAAACCAGTTGAAATGAACAAAGTAATATAAAATAAGATAAATTCCATTTTGCTCTGAGTGCTTGGATAGATTGCATTCACATGCCACAGAGTTAAAGGAGGTTCTGCTAAATAAGGTAGAGCTGTGAACACATTGATGGAAGATGCTAATTTACAGCTCTCTTTCCTGAAGATATCCTAGAGAAGCCCATCAACAGCTTTTAATTTGTGTTAAGAATGAATAAAAACAATCCAGTATGAAACAACTCCATTAGTGTTTTGGCTGCTGAGTCAGCAGTATGAAATAGGGGGGCCAATAAACCCAGAGGCAAGTGTGAGAATACCAAAAATGAGATCTACGGATGATTTTTGTCCATTGGAATACCATGAAGAAGGCCAGATATATGCATGCTATACACTTGGAGTCTAGATTGGGCAAAACAGTAAAAAGATTAGAGAGTGTGGTGATGGATGATACATAGCCCCGTGGATATATTAAAACACTGAACGGTACACATTAAATGTGTGAATTGTATGATTTATGACTTACAGCTCGATAAAGCTGTTTAACAAAAATGGTCCATGCATGGCAGCTTCACCAAACCCAGTGAAGAAAGTGGCAGTGAGAGTGGCAGTGATAGGAATTCCCACAGTTCTACCTCCCTTACTACTCTCCACAAATTACTAGAACATAAAATTGCATCACCTGTGTCTTCATCTTAGGCTCAGAGGTGAAGATTATAGAAGAAATCAGGTGAATCCAAATTAAAACAAGAACAACATATCTTAGTAGACTTAGAAACACACAGTCTGATAGAAATTTCTCTTTTTCCAAGGGAGAAAGTAATCAACAGAGATACCAGCAATATAGAGCATATGAAAGTATTTTGCAATACCAAAAGGGAAACATACTATTTAAGAAAATAAAAATAATCCTCTTTTTTCTTTAAAAAAATATGTCCTAAGGAATAGGAGCAAGCATAAGAAGTCATCCTTTTTGTAGTGCCTTCAAGATTTTATTTATTTATTTATTTACTTATTTACTTATTTATTTATGAGAAGGCACAAGTTGGGGGAGAATCAAAGTGGGAAAGAATCTCACACAGACTGCACTGAGCTCCACATGGGGCTTCATCCCACGACACTGAGATCATGACCGTGAGATCTTGACCTGAGCAGAAACCAAGAGTCCATGCTTAACTGATTGAGCCACCCAGGTGCCCCTTTTGTGAAGAAAACCTGGACTCAAGCAAAAGATGAAAATGATATAATAAAATAGACAAAAGCACCTATTAGGCAAAAAAGTGTTAATACCCAGGACAACTGTGTGATGCGGTCAGTTAAGCATCTGACTCTTGGTTTTAGCTCAGGATCATGAGCTCAGGATCATAAGGATCATGAGCTCCATGCTCTGCGGGGAGTCTATTTGAGCTTCTCTCTCTCCCTCTGCCCCTCCCCCTGCTGCTCTCTCTCTTTCTCTTTCTAAAACAAAAATAAATAAATAAATAAATCTTTTAAAAATTTATAATATCTTTGGTGAGTATTTTATGGTAATAGATGCATTAAAATATGGTACTATCTCTTTAGTATTATGGCATAGTAAAATAAAACCAGTTGTGTAAGGAGAAACTAGAGAAATTCTATCTTAATACAATAGAACAAAAATGGATGGGTTAATGAAAAAGAGAAAACTAAGTTCCACCTTATGGATAGTTGGTGACCCCAAAAAAGAGACCAGAATAAATGTAAAAGATAAATCATTCAAAAATACACTAGAACATTTTTTTTTTAATTTAACTTGAGATTTTTGTCACAAATGGAGAAGGTTCATTTTATAGTAGACAAAAAAATCTAAAAGATACACTTAGATATATTATAACATTTTTTAAGTTTTAAAAAATAAGTATATTATAAAAATCCTATGAAAAAGCAATGAGAAATTACCTATGAAAGGTTATTTTTAGACCTCTTGATAATACTGAAAATAAATAGGCAGTGGAATTTGAGCTTGGGCAAGGTGTAGGCAGGAAGATTATGACATCAGTGTTCTATACCTGTCTGTCATCCATATGTGAAGCTGATAGGAAGATATTCACAGCCAAGCAAGAGTTCTGAAATTTTATGTATGTATCTTTCCTGAACAACTGGTATGAAAAAAAATACTCAACAATGGGAAGATTTAATATCAGAACTAATCATAGTGAACTCTGAAATCATTTCAACACAGAATGAATTCCAAATTACTGACAGTATGCAAAACAGAATGCAAATATTACAACCCAAATTAATAACAGACATTCCTAAACTAGAAACATATTTTGTGTTTCAGAAAACTTTGAAATAGATAACAAAATTGTTTTAGAAAACTAGTGATTTTTAACATTAGAATCTAAATTAATTTGGATGAATTCTCACATCTACCCACCAGCATTCTTTTTTTTTTTTTTTAGATTTTGTTTATTTATTTATTTATTTATTTTTTTTTAAGATTTTATTTATTTATTTGACAGGCAGCGATCACAAGTAGGCAGAGAGGCAGGCATAGAGAGAGAGAGGAGGAAGCAGGCTCCCTGCAGAGCAGAGAGCCCGATGTGGAGCTCGATCCCAGGACCCTGGTATCATGACCTGAGCCAAAGGCAGAGGCTTTAACCCACTGAGCCACCCAGGCACCCCCCACCAGCATTCTTGCATGATAACTACAGCTGTAGTTGAGGAACAGCTACTCCTTTAAATCAGGCATATTCATCCAGGTCCCCTCTGCTCCCCTTTTGCATGAATTTGTGTTTCCTGACAAGCCATTGTAAGGATTTGAATGTTAACCTTTCCTGTAAATCATGAAAAATAATATGTAATGGAAAATACACAAATTGAGCCCTTAACTTGGTCAGAAGTACTAAATTATATTAACAAAAACTGAGAAGGGGGAATAGAGAGATGTGAGAAAGTAAATATGGTTATTTCTTTATCTTACATTGTGAAACTATAGTACATAAAGTTTTATTTTTGCTGTAGAGGGTACAAGTTTGTTCCAATAAGAACTTAAATTTGATACAGTTTCTCAAAATATATTTTACCTTAAATACTAGAGGAAAAAGGAGAAAAAGTAAAGTTTATTTTTGAAAGATAAGACATGTAAGGGAAATATATAAATCAAAAAACAAAATGGTAATGTCATATCTAAAAATAAAGGCAGTTTATGAAAATAAATACAATTGTATTAATTTTTTCTGTCAAGATGTATAACTTTAATATTAAATCTTAAGTAAATCAAACTCCACAAAAGATATACCTAAACTAAAGCAAAATGAAAGCTTAAAAATAAAAAGAATGGGAGCTTGGTTATGTGTGTATGTATGTCTATATATATATGTGTGTGTATGTATATCACATTTTCACATGCATATATTTTTATTTAAGAATTGTTGTTCTAAAATAATTCCAACAGGGGTAGCTGGGTGGCTCAGTCTGTTAAGCAACCGACTCTTGATTTCAGCCCAGGTCATGATCTCATGGATGTGAGATAGAGCCCCACATGCATCTGGCTCCAAGCTCAGTGGGGAGTCTGCTTGAGATTCTTTCCCTGTCCCCTGCTCCTCCCCAGCAGCTTACACACACTCTCTCTCTCCTTCTCTCACATAAATAAATAAATCTTTAAAAATAATAATTCTAGCAAAACATTGTAAAAAAATTTTTCAATAGAAAAAAATTTACAGAGAACTAAAACTAATATAACACTGTGTGTTAATTATACTTCAATTAAAAAAATATACAAAGAACTCATGACAGTTGCCAAATGAAAAGTCATATAAAATATACATGTTTTGAAAGTTCATTATAGTAATCACAGAAATTACAAAGTAAAGTGATCCCATTTTTCTTCTAATAAATTGGCAACAAAGTTTTTTAAACATCCCAGTTTTAATGAAGGCTTGACTATGTATTTATAGCTTTAGTTTATATATTGGTTCAACATCTCTTAAAAACAAATTGAACATAAACGTATTAATACATATAATATGATACAGAAATTCTATTTTTAATGTAATACTTTAAAAAAAGACTTGGATATAACAAAATAAAATAAATAGTATAACTCTAAGTGGCAAAATAAGCTATAAACAAGTATTTCCATAGGATAGCAATTAAAATTGTATATTTATCTAGATAACACATTTCTTTACCACAGGAATAGCTTTATTTCAACCTTATCTTAATGTACTCAAGAAAGCCAATCTTATCTGAGGAGGTCACTGAAAAATAGATTCTCAAGGCACCTGGGTGGCTCAGTCAGTCAAGCATCTGCCTCTTGATTCACCTCAGGTCTTGATCTCAGGATTGTGAGTTTGGACCCCACACACTGAAAAACTTAAAAAAAAAAGACTTTCAGTTCTCACAATAATATATGAAGCAGGTATTATTAGCCACATTTTAAAGATACTAAAACGGAAGCATAGTAATATTGACAGAATCACAGCGTTAGTACATTCTTATCCACCGTTAAGCTGAACAGTTATTAGGATCCTAAATATAAACAGACCAACAAATAAGAAGAGCAAGGGAAAAAAGAGAAGGAAGGAAGGAAGGTTAATACTAGTTTTATTGATGAAGTTACATTATTTACATTATTTTTGTTTCTTGTTTCTTTTTTTTATGTTTCCAGAATTGAGCTTTTAAAAAACATTGAATTGCCATTGACACCCAATGTTACATTAATTTTAGGTGTACAATATGGTGATTCTACCTGTCTGTTTTGCCATGCTCACAGGTGTAACTAACACTATCAACATGCAATGCTCTTACAATACCACTGACTATCCCCCATGCTGTACCTTTCATCCCGTGACATTCTTTCCAATACTGGAAGTCTGTACCTCTCACTGCCCTTTACTCATTTTGTCCATGTCTCTGCTCTGGCAACCACCAGTTTGTTCTTTCTTTATGACTCTGTTTATGATCTTTTTATTTGTTCATTGGTTTACTTTTTAGATCCTACATATAAATGAAATCATATGGCATTTGTCTTTGTCTGTCTGACTTACTTCACTTAGCACAATATACTCTAGATCCATCCATGTTGTCACAAATGGCAAAACCTTGTTCTTATTTATGTATGAATTATATCCTATTACATATGTAAATGACATCTCTTTATTCATTCATCTGTGAGTGGACACTTGGGTTGCTTCCGTATATTGGCTGTTGTGAAAAATGCTACAACTAACATAGGGGTGCATATATCTTTTTGGATTCATCTTTTCTTTGGATAAATACCCAAGAGTGTAATTACTGCATTTTATGGTAATTCTATTTTTAATTTTTTTTTTGGAACCTCCATCCTGTGTTCTACAGTAGCTGCACCAATTTATATTCTCACCAGCAGTGCATGAGGATGTCTTGAGCAGGTTTTATTTAATAAATAGAAAAATTAGTTCCTGAAGTAAAAAGACAGCTTTAAGGCTGAATTCTCAATTAGTAAATGTTCTAATGTAAATACAGTCTACAGATACCACAGTTGTGTGTTATTCTCATTCTTAATTCAAATTTGTACATGTTTTGTTTAATCAGCTCCAAAAATTGAATTCTTAAAAAGTTAGTGAAAGAATAGTATAAAATACTGCTATTTCAAACTATTTCTTATTTCAACAACATTTGCAACCTATTTTGATTTATAACTCTATACTTATGCTTATAAACAGTGGTGGTTGGTATGAAAAGCAGTAACCAAGAGAAAAGTCTTGTTCTTTATAGCAAAGAAAAACAAATAATTAATTTTAAAATTTGTGCCTGGATTATTTTAACAAGTGTAATAAGCTAGCAATAATATAGAAACCTTAAAGTTCAGATTTTTATTTATTTTTTATTCATTTTACTTATTAGATGTAGATAATGGATGGTTTAGATTATGAAATACAAGCTGTTGATTTCAGCGGAGTATGCATTTACCATGGAGGAATTGTGCCAACAGCTGCTTTACTAAGATATTTTACTTTATCAAAAACAAACCTTTTTCTTTTTAGGTCTGAAGTCTTTCACAGGGATCCTCATCCACTGCTTGAAGAAACTTACTGGGGTCATTTCCCTAACTCTGTTTTTTCTGACTGTATTTTCTTTAATTGGGATGGGGCTCTTCATGGGCAACCTGAAGCATAAGTGTTTGCGATGGCCCCAAGAAAACGAAACTGCAACCCTGCACAACAGAACTGAAAATCCATATTATATGCGAGGTAAGAATCACTTGCCATCTATGTCAAAAAAGTTAAGATTTTTCTCTGCAACGGAGCGGGCTTCACAGCAGTGTTGAACACTCAACTGCAGAACGAACTTGCAAATGCTCTAACTATGCTCAAGTACATGCTTTTTGAAAGTTCACATGTTGCCACTTAGCCTTTACCAAAGACCTACATGAATACTTGTTTTCGGTAACCAAAGGAAATCTGAAGATGATTTTTGCTTTTACGAAAAAGACTAAAAGTAAAAATAGCATTCAGGGTTTGCTTTGCAGCAAGCCATTATAAAGGTAGCCTGCATCCCCGCAGGGAGAAGGGCACCACCAGAGTGCCTTCCCCTGGAACCCAGCTCAGCCTCCCAGCATCAAGCCAACATAGCTTTGAATTGAGACAAACCTGTGCTTTGTCTCAATTTATTTTGTGTGTCTGTTAGCAAGATGTGTCCTAATGTATCAGAAAAGCTGAAGAGAGGTTATATCTGGGGCCTGGGAATGCCCACAAATTTTTCCCTATAAACTAATGGTAATTACTTCTTTGCTTTATGCCATTTCCCTTCACAAAAGGTTTCATCAGGAATGTTCTACTTTTGGATGTCGGAGGAAACCTGTGCTGATTTGGATCAGTTTCATTTATCAGAATTGCAATTCAAAGTTCCAATCCTCAGATAGTTCAGTGAGGAAGACCTAAGTTTGAAATTGTTAAGTTTTGCAAATTTTATCCTTTAAAAAATAAATACAACCAGAGTCTTATTTGCAGTTTTATCTAAATAAAATCCTCATAATAGTAACTTTCTTCAATAAAGTTGTTTATTTAAAATATAAATTTAAGTTTACTCATTAGAAATTTTAAAATGACCCTGTAAATAAAAAATAGACTACATTATAGAAATTTTCAGTATTGTTGGATTTCAGTTACTGCTGCTCATTTTAAATGTTTTGAGTTATCTTTTGGTAAATAATAAACATACTTCAGGCAAATAGTAATAATGCCAGAATAAATATTGCTTTGCTCCTACATATAAGTAACACATATGTCTGATCACATATCTTCACTGTAACCCTGCAGAGAAGTGAATGACCCCACTTACAAACAGAAAAAATGGAAGTTCAGAGAAATTCAGTGAATGTTCCAGTATATTGTAACAACTCAATGATAAAACTAGGATTCTAGCCATCCCAATCTGGCTTTCAAACCCATTCCTTCTCCACCGGGTTATACTCTCTTACTGGATTTTTCACTCATATTAAAATTATCGGGTCTTTCTGAAAGTGTTTAGAAAAATATAAAAGCATATTTTTAAACTAATAAAAGTAAATTGTTGTTAAGTCTTATGTAGTCCCCTACATTAATTTTATTTGTATTTGGATATAATAAGTTCCAAAACAAATCTTAATGAATTTTACTCCTTATTTTACCCCATAATATCATTATGCTGCAAGTAATACAAAATTATTAGTATATGAGTATGTGAAATATTTCCTTATTATGTGTGTCTACCTCATGGTCTTCATTCTAGTGGTGAGGGCAACAGAAAAATGGATGTTAAATCTTAGATTCCAATTGAAATACTCTTTGGTTTCTTTAGTTATAATAAAAAATATACAAATTATATAAAAAGTAAACAATTTTTACTACTTCACAATAATGAAGTACTTCAATATAGTGAATACCAATAGTTATTGCTGGAAAAAAAAATCCAGGTTCTTTTCATCTTAGTTAAAGTGTAAGTTATATTATAAAGAAATCACTTTTTTAAGTTTACAGCTTTAAAATTTGTCCAATTCTAGTCATTCCATTTCCTCTAAAAACATGTTAGGACTTGCTGAAAATATATTTATAAAATGTTACTTAACCTAATTGCCATGTCAAAGTCTTTGTATTTTAGAACAATATTTGGGACAGTCCTCAACTACTAATGTTGAATTTCATTTGGATTTTGACTGCCATTTAAAAGGCTTGACCAGTGGTTCCTAACTATGATTTCAAACTTCTTCTAGGGGCACCTGGGTGGCTCAGTGTGTTAAAGCCTCTGCCTTCCACTCAGGTCATGATCCCAGAGTCCTAGGATCGAGCCTCACATCGGGCTTTCTGCTCCATGGGGAGCCTGCTTCTCCCTCTCTCTCTGCCTGCCTCTCTGCCTACTTGTGATCTCTGTCTGTCAAATAAATAAATAAAATCTTTAAAAAAAAAAAACTTCTAACATTATTTTAGGTAAAGTTAAAGTGACATCATTTGGCATTGTAGTAATTCAGTTTTGTGTGTGTACATATGTATATGTATATAATTTTATATATATACACATACATTCAGGACTGATCTCATGTGTTGGAGCTGTGATTTGAGTTCAGAACCTAAAATCAATACTTCTAAGCATGTATGTTCCCAACCCTGGTAGTTCATATCTGTAAATACACAATTTATATATTGAATGACAGCAGATAAGGATACCCGAATAAATTCTATGGGCTATGATTCAGATTCGTTGGGATTATGGTTAGATTAAATGATACCAGGGTGAGTAACTAGCACTGGATGCTCAATATAGAAAAGTAAGCTTCAACATGGGAAGAGAATGGTATTTAAATGCAGAGACAGAAATATGGTCTCATGTTAAGGAAGATCATTAGGAATAAAGCCTGGAAGAAAAGGTCTCAGCTTTCACTTTGGTCTTGGGAATTTTTCCTTCAGGGTTCTGGTCATACCTGACTGGTTAATATTTGCTTCCCAGAACTCTAGTTTTGAAAGCGATTCTCCTCTTTTTATGCTGGGTTTTGTTTCTTTTGGGACGGTGGAGTAGGTAGATTGCAGGACATCTTTTGGTCTGTGCATCACATGTTAGGACAATCTTGTAGATAAGAAAGGGTGGGCTATATGTTCCTTCCTTTTCAGTATAGATAGAGATGTTCATATTCTATGCAGATCTAAATGGATATCAGATATGCTCTTCACTCAAAATTAGATAACAGAATATATTTCTTTCCTATTTTGCAGAAACAGAAAACTTTTATTATTTGGAAGGAGAAAGATATGCTCTCCTTTGTGGCAACAGAACAGATGCCGGGTACGTGGTGTTAATGTTCTTGTATCAGTCAGGATCATAGATCCATAGTATTTATTGAATGAGTAATGCTTTGGCTGATGTTTCTCATTTGATTACATTATCTCATTTTGTCATTAAAACCATGCTGAGAAATATACAACACGGAATACTATTACCCTGATTTTACAGGAAAAAGCAATAAACAGACTACTTAAATGATTTATTCAAGGTCATGAAGTGAATAAATGGCAAGGCTGGGACTTAAATAAGGATCTGATTTTTTGTTTTCTGTGTACCCCAGAGCTAGTGGGAATTATCAAGAGAGATGATATAATCTTTTCTTGGTCCAGAAGCCTTTGAAGAGAAGAAATAGGAAATATATGCTATTATTTCATTTATTTTATGGCTTGTATGTATTTTATGACAAAATTTACATTAATAAAAAGTTTATTGTTCTTAGAAATAGTACTTATAAATAACTATTCAATGATATGACAACACTCTCAAGTTTTATGAAGAGAAAAGAAAGTAGAAATATAGTGCTTCTCAGCAGTACTAGCACTTTCCTGTAATTCCTTATGTTACTTCCATCAGCTGGAAATGATGTGGTGCCCATCTGTAGGGTCAGCTCTTTCTTAGGCTCTAGGGCTCAGATTAACAAAAGTCATGTGGGGGTAAAGGAGCATGAATTATGTAGTTTATATATTCACGTGATTTAGACATTTTGTCTCTTGCTCAACGCTGCCCAGCACAAGTACATTTTAAACCTCTCTTTGCATCACATTTGTTAACTATTAAAAGTCCAAAACAAGTCACATGGCCAAAGCCAGAATAACATTGGAGGAAACTACACAGGGTATGGATGGAGGGAAGCATGATTTATGTGGCCACAACTGTAATAACCAATCATAATATTCAAGCCCCCAGAAGATAAAGTATGAAGACTCCATGAAAGGAAATAAGATAAATCTTTAATCTGATCTTTCTACCATTGTGCAAATACTGATTATAAGTTATCAATGTGTAAGTGTTTTCTCACCCTTAAATAATGGGACCCAAGGGCTTAAGGTGAGACATTTGAAAATTAAACCCTCAATGACTGAAGCTTTGTTTTATGACGGTTATTCCCATTATGTATGCTTTCACCTTGATGCTGATAGCAAAGAAAACTTCAACAAGGCTTGGCAAAAAACCATTGGTGAGACCCTTTTCCTTTTAGATTAATTAACACTGTTCACTTGTATTAGCTTAAAATCTACCTCATTTGCAGCTTTTTCACTGGGCTTTGTTTAGACTGTTCCCTGTGGAAGAAAGAACTCTTTATTATTCATAGGTGGATATTCTGTATTTATGATTTGGCCTGTAATCTGAAAGTCACTTAAGAGTAAGCAGTTTCTCTTCTCTTTGTCTTCTTTAGTCAGTGTCCTGAAGGATATGTGTGTGTGAAAGCTGGCACAAATCCTGATTATGGCTTCACAAATTTTGACACTTTTGGCTGGGCCTTACTTGCCCTGTTTCGGTTAATGACTCAGGATTACCCTGAAGCACTTTATCATCAGGTAAGAATAGAATCTACATGGCACAAAAAATGGTATCATGTCCCTACCTTCTAAAATAATGGTCAGATGTACCACGATTTATTAAATTTCTATGGGGAGAAGAATTTGAGGACAGAAGAAAACAGAGTCAGAATTACTGAAAGTCAAACTGTATGCTAACTCTGTGCCCAAGTCTGTGCCTTTATGTATATCTCATTTAATCTTTGAAACAATCCTGCAAGACCTATCGGTATCTGCTTTTTATGTGAAGGCACTAAGATCAGAGTGGTTGGGTAACCTCTCCAAAGTTACAACACATGTATCTTCTAGAGATCACTGCCCTGCTGTATGATATCACACATTTGATATTAACTGAGTAAAGAACATTAGTAAGTACTACCTCTTCAGTCAAAAAATTTGAACCTGGGACGCCTGGGTGGCTCAGTTGGTTAAGCGGCTGCCTTCGGCTCAGGTCATGATCCCAGCGTCCTGAGATGGAGTCCCACATTGAGCTCCTTGCTCAGCAGGGAGCCTGCTTTTCCCTCTGCCTCTGCCCCACTCTGTCTGCCTGACCTCACTCTCTCTCTCTCTCTGACAAATAAATAAATAAAATCTTTTAAAAAAAAATTTGAACCTATGAGATTAACATGTATTAAGAAATTTTTTTACTTTTTTTATTTTATTTTTTTAAAGATTTTATTTGTTTGACAGACAGAGATGACAAGTACACAGAGAAGCAGGGAGAGAGAGGGGAGGAAGCAGGCTCCCCGTGGAGCAGAGTCCGATGCAGGGCTCGATTCCAGGACCCTGAGATCATGACTTGAGCCGAAGGCAGAGACTTTTAACCCACTGAGCCACCGAGGCACCCCAAGAAATTTTTTATTTAATGTCTACAAGGTGTATTTCACTTCAATTCTTCTATTGCTTCTCATTCCCCTTTAATATTTAATCCTGCTCTGATTATAACAGAAGGCTTGCTGTTCTGAGACTTGAAATCCAAATTCTGAGAGTCTCTCTTTGTAACTGATGATTTATGTGCCATATTTTCTTAGAAAGATATAATACACATTAGAATGGTGACTTCGTTTTTCTAAGAGAAGTTTCATCACAGTGAAATATGCAACGTTAGTTTAGCAGAGTTAACAGAGTTTAGCAGAGTTAATATCAAAGTATATTAGATAAAATAAATTACTTTAAATTTCCAAAGTATGTATAGTTGAAGGAGAACAGTCTTTTTTTAAAAAACATATACATACATTCCATACTTTTTATGATTGGATAGATAAATTGTGAGGTGTGTGTGTGTGTGTGTGTGTGTGTAATGACCTCTATAGGCATTAATAATGATAGGACTTTTAGCACAAATGTTCATGTTATGTTATGAAATAAAAGTCAAGCAAAGTAAACAGTCAGTACAATTATACTTCTATAAAAGAAATACATGAAAATATTAAAATGGCTTTTTAAGTTGCAAAGTATATTTTTCTGATTTTGTAATATGAATATTTATTTATATTGTTATTTTCCAAACTTTGACAAGTATCAGTGCCTCTTCCACAACACTAGGGGCTTCTTATTTCTAAAATCATCTTATCACATTATCCTACTTCTAAAAATCCTTCAGAGGTTCTGCATTCCCATGGGATGAAGTTCAAAGTCTAAATGGATGGTCTATAGAGCTCTTTAAAATCTAGTTTCTGGGGGCGCCTGGGTGGCTCAGTGGGTTAAGCCGCTGCCTTCGGCTAAGGTCATGATCCCAGGTCCTGGGTTCAAGCCCCACATCGGGCTTTCTGCTCAGCAGGGAGCCTGCTTCCTCCTCTCTCTCTGCCTGCCTCTCTGCCTACTTGTGATTTCTCTCTGTCAAATAAATAAATAAAATCTTTAAAAAAAAAAAATCTAGTTTCTGGGGGTGCCTGGGTGGTTCAGTGGGTTAGGGCCTCTGCATTCGGCTCAGGTCATGATCCCAGGGTCCTGATATCGAGCCCTGCATGGGACTCTCTGCTCCGCGGGGAGCCTGCTTCCCCCTCTCTCTCTGCCTGCCTCTCTGCCTACTTGTGATTTCTGTCAAATAAATAAATAAAAGCTTTAAAGAAAAAAGATCTAGCTTTTGCATACTTTTCCAGATGTATCTTCTAACAATATTCCAATATATATTCTGCTTTATTTGAGTATAGAAGAGGCTTTCTGTTTCCTAAGTGAGTTTTTCCCATAATTTCTTGTTTCAATGTATGTTGTACCCTCAGCCTAAATTCAAGTTTCATTCTATCTTCAGTCTCATACCTCAAATTCATACCTCAAACCCGGAAGAAATCTTGAGCTTTTCCCACACTTTCCTTTCACAGCTAGGCAAGTCCTACACCAAAATACCATGGAATTGTACAATTGCCTCTAATTGTGGTTATTTTATTTGTTTATTTATTTTTGAGAGAGAGAGAGTGAGGGGATGCACACCTGTACATGGGAGGACAAGGGGAGGGACAGAGAGAGAGAGAGAATCCTAAGAAGTCTCCATGCCCAGCATGGAGGTCCACATGGGGCTTGAACCTTGAGGGCTCAAGCCCGAGATCATTACCTGAGCTGAAATCAAGAGTCAGATGCCTAATGGACTGAGCCCCCAGGCCTCCCTGATTTTGGTTACTTTAATTGCTTGTTCAGTAGTTTCTCCCACTAGTAGATACCTTAGAAACATACCTGAGAAGAGTTCTTTTTATCTCAATTTAATTGTTCTATCCTCAGTATCAAACACATAGAAATGCTTAATGAAATTTTAATAAGCAAAAATATGAGTATTTATAGATCATATCACTTTATATAATGTGTTCTGGTTTTTTGGTTACAGCCCTCAAAGTATGTTAGCTAATTTTCTTGTTAGAATTGGTTTAAAGGAAATCCTTTCCCACTACTAGTGAAATGAAACATCAGTGTGGGAGTGCCCTGGCGGAGTCCACATGGGACTTTCATCAGTATTGCACTCTTGTTATTGACTAGTGTGTTGAGATGGTTTGCTTTGATTTGGACTGGATTTGTGCTCTCAGCATTGCCCCACACTGAACTGACCACGGCTAGGGAAATTCAGCAATTATTCCCAAAGAGTGTAGTTTATGTTTTAGAGAATACAATTCTCTATTCATTCACGAAATATTTATTTGATCCAAGCACTCTTTGATACACCCAGGGTACAGAAATGAACAAAACAAAATGTCAGTCCTAATGGACATAAACAAAATGTTATTTCCAACATAGTTAACCTTCACTGCATATTTGCCATAGGCTAAATGCATCTTCACGTGAGTGCACTATTTCATTTGCTTTTCGCAAAATCCTAGGCTTTGGGTGCCATAATTACCCCAATTTCAAACTAAAATATGCTAGAACTAGAATGTGTATACTTTTCCATCATGATAAAAGTGTATACTTTTATCCTCCAGCCGGTTTCATATACTGGAAAGAGCAAAAGTTTTGGATTCAGGCCTTTCTTCAAAGCTGTGAAAGTTTTGACATGTCATTTTGCCTAATTTTCATCTTTCTTCTGCATATTGGAAATAGTAAATACCACATAAATGTGCTACACAGAATTAATGATACAATAAGCAAAGTATTTATTTATTTATTTGTTTATTTTTAAAGATTTTATTTATTCACTTGACAAAGAGAGAGATCACAAGTAGGCAGAGAAGCAGGCAGAGAGAGAGGGGGAAGCAGGCTCCCCGCTGAGCAGAGAGCCCGATGTGGGGCTCGATCCCAGGACCCTGAGATCATGACCTGAGCTGAAGGCAGAGGCTTAACCCTCTGAGCCACCCAGGTGCCCCAAGCAAAGTATTTATTAATGTGCATGGCCTGCAGTGTATCCTATGGTGTTCATTACTAACTCTTGAATCTACTACTGTAGATGATAGCTAGTTCTGTGGGAAAACTATTTAACCAAATCCTAAATAGGTGACTCTTTTAAGAAATAAGGTTTATTAAAAATGCTTTTAATGATAAATATACTATAGGTTAATAAGAAATTATTTTTGATTGAATGTTAGAACTTATTAATCTGTAAAACATTTTTAACTTTGTTGTATCAATATATTTTCTGTAAATAATACTTATCTATTGATTCAAGTGGATACTTAAAAATTAACACTAACCTCATCTGGGTTTTTTTGGATTTTGTTTATATACTTATAGTCAACGATAATAAATCAGTGGCCTGTATTACTTACATAGTGGACTGTATCAATTACTTATAATTTTTAAAATTTTAAATTCTCTCATTTATCTTAGGTAATTATTATGAAATAAAAGCTAGTCAATGCTCAGTTTTGAAATCTAAAATCTTTGTTTTTTTTCTATCTATAAATGACTTTAATAAGTAATTATATAACCTTCCCATGTGATTTGTCTAAATGTTCTTCACCAAAGCAGATATTCTGATATAGAAAAATTTTTGTTTCCCACCTCTTTGTTTTTTTTTTTTTAAAGATTTTTATTTATTTATTTGATAGAGATCACAAGTAGGCAGAAAGGCAGGTAGCTAGAGAGGAGGAAGCAGGCTCCCTGCTGAGCAGAGAGCCCGATGTGGGGCTCGGTCCCAGGACCCTGAGATCATGACCTGAGCCAAAGGCAGAGGCTTTAACCCACTGAGCCACCCAGGTGCCCCTGTTTCCCACCTCTTTGAATAATCTAAGCTTGTACCTTGTTATGATGTTTTCATAGAGTAATGAGAAGATGAAACTAATCTCTAAACCTTCATTCTCTGACTTTTATTAAGCTTCATATATTTAAAGATTCTACTGTAAAGGAAATAGTCTTTACTTTAGACTGTCCAGCTTTCTTAATTGAGAAATGACAATTCTTTCCTTCCAATATGTTTCTTTGTTAGTGAAGACCTAAAAGCCAGATGCTCACTCTAATTTAATTCAATTACTAAATTCTTTGATTTTGTACTATGCATTTTGTACCTTATATATATCTAAAATTGAAGAGCTTTTCTCTTATTTCTCCAAGTAGAGCCAGTAAAACTGTCCTGTGATTACATTCCACATACAACTAAATTATTTTCATTAACAAAATGTGTTTTTTTTTTCATTTTAAAATAGGAGATTATAGGAAGACAAATAACATTTTCCTCTTTTGTCTTGTTTTCCAACTCTCCTTAGATCCTTTATGCTTCTGGGAAGGTCTACATGATATTTTTTGTTGTGGTAAGCTTTTGGTTTGCTTTTTACATAGCAAGTTTGTTCTTGGGCATACTTGCTATGTCCTATGAAGAAGAAAAGCAGAAAGCTGCTGAAAAAGCTAAGAAGATTGAGCCAAAATTTCAGCAGACTTCAAAAGAACTTCAAGAAGGAGACAAAGCAGTTGAGGTATGAATTTTTCTTAATGCTTCATAGAATCAAAGAATTTGAGCTATTTCCTCAAGATCTTGGAGTATATTGCTTTTCTACATGGTGCTCAGTACTGTGTATTGTACATGGTAAAAATATTAACAGTGATTTTGATAAATGGGCTCACTTTGCTACATAACATTATTTCTTCAGTGCACCATGGCAAGAGTGACCAAGAGCTTTAAATATTTCTTTAAGACAGATAAATTTTTGTCCCAAAATGTATATTACTACTGCTGATAAATGATGGATATATTATTTTTCAAACTTGACTTCTCTGAATGCAGGTTTAGTTTATTAATTCAAACTTGCTTCTGATAGTTCATCAGAATTAACTGGAAAATTTCAGTATTCAACTCAAAAGTGATACTGTCTTCCATAATTTAGAAATCATGAAATACTAAAAGCATAGATTAAAAGTACAGTACTGAAGTTGTAAAAAGAACAAACAAATGCAGTCACTGGCTTTCTAGCTCTTTCAAGAGGAAATGCACTATACATCTTGATATAAAGAATTATTTTATCCATGGAATAACCAAATCCATGATAGTAAAAGTTAATAAAGTTTAACTCTAATTTTCAATTATTTAATGTGGCTTTTGAGTTTATTTTCAGATTTTTAGCTTAATAGCAAAAACTTCAGTCTATGAATCTAAAAGTATTGACAGAAGTAACATTAAAGAAATTGTAGAAATTATCTTTAAAAAATCAAAATTGTGCCATAAGTGTACTAAAGGAAGAGGACCCAGGAAAGCAACCACAAGTAGCTTTCTTATATTCAATCTCAGACTTCTTTCTCCACTGGGGAGGAAGAGGTTTAGCCCAGTCTCCTAACACCCCTACCTGGAGCTGTTGAGGTATATGGTGGGCAGGAGTCAAGTGGCCTGGGGTAGGATACATTCCTTGCCTCTTCCAGGCGTTGCTCCCTTCCCCTGCATTGTAAAGACCCTTTTGCCTGGGAGCTTGGTCTTTGGAGAGCTCTGGGGCCAAAGTGGTCCCAGTCAAGTTGAATTCTCCTTGACTGGAGTGGCTTAGTTATAGGACTTCACTTGGGAGGAGAGGTGTCATGCCCTGCCTCCTTTCCCATTCTTTTAGATTTGTTACGATTTTGCACTCTCAATACCTGCTTATAAAGATTGTCTACACTGGAAAAAAAAGAAACAACTTGATGGCGAAAGGACAGATTCAGGGAGCAGACAAAGGATAGAAAAGAGCTATACTAACACTCTGTCATATGAAGAGAGTAAAAAGAGATGGGGAAAAGTAAAGAGCTAAGATACATTCTGGCACTAAGTGGAATGCATAGTAAGGCTGGCTAAGAGATTTATTAATATCAAAGGTAACTTCTGGGTCAAAAGGGGGTAAAATGTTAACTTCTCTCTATATAAAACTATTAAGTCATCATCAATAAAGACGCTCTAGAAAAGTAGTTCTACTAAAAATGTGGGAACTGAAGAACAGAATGTAAGATCACACCAGATTCAAAGTTATTGATAGATACTGTGTTTACATGGTTCATAACATGCATACCATTGAAACAAGAAGCAATTATAGACAGTATGAAGAAAACATGTACAAAAAGAAGCTATTGAGTGTAGCCATTATATCATCCATGAGGAAGTCACAGAAAAGATTACAAAAGATTTCTGTCTCTAGAAATGAGTGTGGGGTCCTTCTGATTGAATGATTATGGTCCGAATGGTATTCGAATGTGTAATTTGTTTTGAAGTGGTTTTTCAAATGTCAAGGACTACACACAAATGTATCCAAGAGCACAATACTTCTATTATGCCAAGATGAGATGCCCTATTAACTCTGCTTAGGAAGAACTTGTATTATTTCCCAATTTCTTAATATCTCCATTCATTTGGCTGTTTTGGGTCACATGAAGCCTTTCTGGTTTTAATTAAAATCTTTCAATTGTAAAGGATTTCTTTTCCTGGAAGACACTAGAACATTTTGTCATGAAAAACTTTTTTGGGAAGTAAAAGCGAAGGTCATTTTCACAAGATTTACTTTATTTTCCTTTTTTATTTATACATAAGAAAATGCTGGAAAGAGAATTTAAAATGGAACATATTGAGGACTCTATAGGTGACTGATCTGATTTAAGACTAATCAGATTCTAATTCTGATGTTGGAATTACTGGGAGATTACTTAGATGTTTCATATTCTCACATTGTAGGAAAGCAGTAGATCATATTGGCTAAAAGCACAGTTTTGCAGTCAGATAAATATAGATTTCAGACTGTTTTAGCCACTTAAAGATGTATGATATTTGCCAAGTCTGTTAACTTTTCTGAACTTCAGCTTCTTTGTCTGCAAGATGTATATAATTGTAGTATCTGTCTCATGTTGATGCGAGATTCAAATGAAATAAATTCTTGTAAAGCAGTTGGCAGTGCTTAGAGTATACTGAGCAACTGAAAAAAATGTTAATAGCTAATTATAGGAAACACAAGAAGGCACAGCAGTACCTAATGATTATACTCCATCAACATAAAACTCTTAAGTCTTTGACTATATCCCCCTTTTTGGGGCAATTAAAATAATAATAACAATAATAGCAATAATAGTATATAATGTTTATTGAGTGTCAACTATGTTCTACACATATGATAAGCATCTTCATGATCTTCAAATTTTATCTTCATTGAAGAGTTCTGTTGGAAAGTTTCACCTGTATTTATTGGTGTCTGATTTCTCAACACTTCCCTTCATTTTTCACCACTTTATTTTCCTGGAGGCTCAATGCTGAAACTATATTATTCTATCAATTGCACAGTTGGCAGATGAAACTTTCTTAAGAATTGCCAGTCATGGGGCACCTGGGTGGCTTATGGGTTAAGCCTCTGCCTTCGGCTCAGGTGATGATTTCTGGGTCCTGGGATCGAACCCTGCATCCTGGCTCTCTGCTCAGTGGGGAGCCTGCTTCCCCCTCTCTCTGCCTGCCTCTCTGCCTACTTGTGATTTCTCTCTCTCTCTGTCAAATAAATAAAATCTTTTTAAAAAAAATTGTCAGTCGCTGTCCAAACCTCAAGAAGAGAATCAGATATACACAACTGTAGGAATATAAATATTTTTGAAAACATTTTCCCATCTAAAATGATATCCTTATAGCTCATCTATCTAATTAAATAAAACATTATTGACAATCTATATGCTAGGCATTATTCTAAGCTTTGGAGATTTTAAAATGTTAATAAATACAAATATAGTATTTATCTTCATGAAGCTAATGGTCTAATGGGGAGATAGACCATAAAATTATCTACACATAAAATTGTACCTCTCCGACTACCAGACATTATGTGTTTCCTGATGTTATGGAATGGGAGACATAAAACACCACATACAATATATTCTTGCCATAATCTGATCTAAGCCTAGTAAGCCTCTAGATCTGTCTTTTTCTAGAGACTATAAGAAAAGAACACAGGGGCATCTAGGTGGCTCAGTGGGTTAAAGCCTCTGCCTTTGGCTCAGGTCATGATCTCAGGGTCCTGGGATAGGCTCTCTGCTCAGCGGGGAGCCTGCTTCCCTTCCTCTCTCTCTGCCTGCCTCTCTGCCTACTTGTGATCTCTGTCTGTCAAATGAATAAATGAAATCTTAAAAAAAAAAAGAAAGAAAAGAAAAAAGAACACATTAAATTACGCTAAAAGGACACAATATATCAAATCAAGAATGTGGAAAATTCTACAGTTATAAGTGATCCATTATCATCAACAAGTAAATCACAATAGAAAAAATAAAGTCACAAGATAATCAGTAGGCCTGTGAACAAAGTGCAATGTGAGGATCTTTTTTGTATTTGATTGGAACAAATAAACTATAATAGAAAGTTTCTGAGCAATGAAAGGAAACAGAGCATGGTCTGAGTACTGGATAATATTAAGGAGTTACTAATTTTCTGATGGTGATCTTAATATTGTGATTGTGTCTTACAAAGTTTATTCTAAGAATTATATGATGTCCAACATATTTTTCCTGAAATATTTTAAATAAAGTGGGATGAGTAATACATGAGAAGTGAAGAGTATACTATTATTAAATTTTAAGGCTGGATATTAGGTACCTTTTGATTCACTGTATTATTCTCTTCTAAAAATAAATAAATGAAACCATAGCAAGTGCTATAAAAGTGAGAAACATGATGTTTTAGGAGCCTATATAAAGGATTTCCCTGAGTAATAACAGGGTTTTCTGAGGAACTGATGCTTGAACCAAGATCTAAAGAATGAGTGCATGCCATGTAAGGGTGAAGGAACAGAGTGGGTCAGGATTAAAAAGGCCAGTGTACCTGCAGTAGAGAGAGCAAATGTGAGTCCAAGATGAATATATCAGGTGTTCACTGCTAAATGCTAGAAATATGGCTAGATTCTTTCTTATTCATACCTCCTCTCTAGAGAAAATTTAAACCAGTTGTGAGAACAGGAATTTTAGGTGCTTTTTCCAGTCTAATTTTAACTTTGGATATGCCCTTATTAGCTCTTAAACTTCCAAACAGATTATTGAGTCAGGATCTTCTTAATTTGCATTATAAAATGGTTCTGTCCTTAGTAGTTGGCCAACTTGTGGGCGTTCATTCAATATTTTTAAGAGCTCCATTTAGGTAACTATATTACTAGACCAATATGTAATTTATTCTCTTTAGATTCTAAAATATATCCACAGTTCAAGCCAAACAAGTAGAGATTAAATATGACTACATCAACAATAACATAGTTACTCTCCTCACTGTACCCACTTCACAAAGATGATTATCTTGACTAAATTCCTTCTTGGGGTGATTCCATCAGACATTGTCACTATCAGAAACATCTCTAGGAGAAGCAATTCCTTTATACTAGTGGAAGGACTAGTGGAAGGTATTCAGTATACCACAAAGTATCATCTTCATGAAGATAAACCTGGGAAATCCCTGTTAGACTTTAATAACAGAACAATTATGCTTCTGTTGGTTTTTGACTCATAGAAATTTGAAACTGTATAAATTGTAACTTCTTTTTTTATTATGTTAGTCACCATTCTATAACTTACATTTTATGAAACCTTGTAAGTCAGTTAAAAAATAGTTTCTGGAGTAAGTTTAGTTAAGGTAAATAAATTAACCTCATATCCTGAGTTTTTAGCTTACTTTTTCAGAAAAAAAAATTAGTAATGAGGGAACAGAGATCAGTAGACCTGAAGAATCTGTCATTTTCATGGTGGAATCAGTATATAGTAGAGTTGGTTTTTACCTCCTCTGACTCTAGTATTTATGAAATTAGAGGAAACTTGACTGATACTGAATGAGATAAATATGATGATTCCTTGACATCTGTTATGCTACTTCAGGAAGACTAGAGCAGAACCTGCCAACTACGGTGTGCTGGGTATCAGTTATCATTGAGATCTGACCACTGATTCCTTCAGTGTTAGTGAAGCAGCACCCCCATCCCACTTACCTCCATTCTAGAGCAGCCTGGCCTATGCAAATTTATTTACTCTTTATTTCACCTATTTAGCTACACCTATTTACCAAGGTAAATATTTACCAATACCTATTTAACTTGGTAACATGTTACCAAGTTAACAAACATACCAATTTCATTCTCCTGCGTGTCAAATATAAACACTGTTGGGAACTCTGTGGTGTAATATAATCTACCCATTGTCAGGTTTTTTTCTTTTGTGTGTGCCCGCATGCATGCATAGATTTCTGTCTCTAGAAATGAGTGTGGGGTCCTTCTGGGGAAGGGCAGAGGTAGAGGCAGAGAGGGAATCTTAAGTAAGCTTCACACCCAGTGCAGAGCCCAGTGAAGGGCTTGATCTCACAACCCTGAGATCATGACCTACTCCGAAATCAAGAGTTGGACACTTAACTGACCGAGCAACCCAGGTGTCCCACCATTGTCAGTTTCTTAGAGTTTAAATTCAAATATAAATTATATTCTTGGTCACTAGAAACACCTGATCTCTATTTGTGGTAACTATGATGGTATAGAAGTTGAGACATCTACATCAAACCCTAGGAATGTGTTTCCAGAGCAAGGCTTCTTTTGAACTCTGTGTAACCACATCGGTAAAATAGAGTATCTTAAAACCATTACTCAAGTGACAAGACAAAAAGAAGTGATTCCTTTGTGGAATTCTCAGATATGTTCTAGCCAAAACAACTCTTTTAAATCCATTCCTTTACCTCATACTATTCAAGTTTATTTCATTACCACAGAGCCAAATAATTTTTTTTAAGATTTTATTTATTTGACAGAGAGAGATCACAAGTAGGCAGAGAGGCAAGCAGAGAGAGAGAGGAGGAAGCAGGCTCCCTGCCGAGCAGAGAGCCCGATGCGGGACTCAATCCCAGGACCCTGAAATCATGACCTGAGCTGAAGGCAGAGGCTTAACCCACTGAGCCACCCAGGAGCCTCAAATAATTTTTATTTTATCAAGAGTTTTCAAAGTTATAAAATACCTTCAAGGAAAAATGTAAGGTATTTGAGAAATACTACTATTCAGTAGCATGTTTGCCAACTGGATATTTTGCAGTGATCCTAAAGTATACATTGAATTGTTTATCAAATATGAGTAATGAATCGCTTCTCAGCCTTTTGGCTAAGATCAAGTGCAAATATGAGTAATAAAAACAGTATTCTCTGATTTCCTACTTTTATAGTTGATCTCATTGTATGAAATGATTTTTTTGAGTTGCAAGATAATACACATTCATTACCAAAAAATACTAAATCAGTTTAATACTGCCTATAGTGTAAAGACTAGCACGTGATGAAACCCAAAAAGATTTCTGGAAGTAAGAATCAGCATTTGAAAGAAGGTTATAAACCTTCTTATAGTTTTAGTCTTGTATCTACAAAGGGCAGAAGCCAGCACTGGACTCATCTAATTTCTTTTTAGACCAAGACCACACAAATAGAAATGAAGAAGAGATCACCAACTTCTATGATCACTTCTTTGAATATGTTGGATGATGCTACTGCTGCTATCAGACATGAGGAAGGTAAAGTAAAAAAATAGTTAGACACTCTGAAAGGTACTATTGATAAGACTCACTTTTAAAGTAATCCTGTAATTTCTTTAGAATTGCAGATGATAACAAAAATTTAAGGAATAACATAAGAATATTAAAATGAGCAATTCCATACACATAGTATTTTAAACATTGGTATTTTAAACATTCTTATCACTCACCAAAGAGTACTAAGAAATTTTCTTTAACATTGAAAACAACAAAGAAGTATTAACTTATAACTTAAAACAGAGGTTGGATAATATAACAATCATATATTAAGATATTTTTCAATATATAACCAGTAATTCATTATCATGGACAATATTAAAAGATATTATTTTGTAAAGCATAAAAATCTAGAAATTCTAAATCATAATCCTCAACTTTATTCCATATTTGTTTTCTTGAGAGAAACTCCTATGATTTACTTCTAATACACAGTTTATCTCATTTCATTTGTCTAACTCAGCAAGCATGAACAAAATAAAGGAAATTTGCTTTGCTCTGCTTTTTATTAGTACAGAATATTTTTATTTGCTAATTCCAAATCAGAAGTCTAGTTTTAAACATCTCTTTGCATGCAAAAGTCAAAACATTTTATTAGTTAGAACTTAAACAATTTGCTAATGTTTAACTTTTTTATTCCTTCATTTCAGAATCTGAAAAATCCAGGAAGAGATGCCCATTGTGTTGGCATAGATTTGCTAAAATTTTCTTGATCTGGAATTGTTCTCCCTGTTGGTTAAAATTGAAAGAGTTTATCCATATGATTATAATGGACCCATTTACTGATCTTGTCCTTACCATATGCATAATTCTAAACATATGTTTTTTGGCCTTGGAATGTTATCCGATGAGTGAAGAAACCAACAATGTTCTTAGCATTGGAAACCTGGTAAGGCTCTTGTACCTTATTTTCATTTACGACTTCAACTTTTCTTTAGTTATCATTACCCCATTATTTTATTTTATAATTCCAGTATGTTGCAAATGCATTATATGCATAGTAGATGAAATATTATGTTCACACTTCCACAACTGATCACCCCCGGCCCTGCTTTGTAAGTGTTCTTCTCATTTAATAAGTTTGTAGCTGAAGCTTAAAATTCTGCCATTTAAGTTTGAGATTCTAGTCAGTTGCTTGGCAGTTAGGTTAAATGGAAATATTATTTATTTCTTCTCCCTTCCCAAACATATCCTGGTATATGCCACATATATATGGTATATATATATATATATATACACACACACACACACACACACACACACACACACACATATATGTGTGTGTGTGTATATATATATATATATATAGGGCCATAGCTTCATAGAACAGAGCTGAGCAGAGGTGAAATAACAAATGCAAGCTCCTCACTGACACCTGAACTCTGAATCCTGACTACAACCACACCTGCCCTGTCTGCTCTAGCCACCTGTCTTTGGCTTGATGGGAACTCATCCTTTTTTTAGTCAATACAATGCAAAAAGCAAAACAGATTTCTGTGAGTTTAAAAACAAGTCACATTCAAGAAAATATACAATGTTCAATTTTCTTTGCTTTTATGGTGGTGGTGGTTTGTTGCTCGGTATTAGTATAAATGACCAAACTGCTACCCATTTTGAATTATATATTTACTTGGAACCAATACAACAATTGAGTCATTTCTACCAGTATAGTTTTCAAGAGACAGTGTTCACAGGTTTACTTTTTTTTCCCCTTGGTTCACATATGCACTTTTTAAATTCCTTCACAGTTTAAAAAATTAAATATCTTATCATGTATTCCGTATCCCAAAAAGAACCATTCAAAAAGATTTTCATCTTTAAATATGCTTTTGTTGTCTTTCAAGACAGTTTTTATTAAATATTTGAAGATTCTGTATACAGTGTTTGACGTTAGACTGTTAAATTAAAAATGTTTGAGTCTATCTTTAAATTATAGACTCCAAAACTAATCAGCTCTTGAGAGAGGAACTGTGAAGAATGTGGCAGTGAAAAGTTATAGTTTTTGTGTATGAGGTTCTGATATTGTAATTGGAAGCGTATTCTCATCTGTGTGTTTTGTTTCTGTTTAGATTTTTATTGGAATTTTCACAGCAGAAATGATTTTGAAAATCATTGCAATGCATCCATATGGGTATTTTCAAGTAGGTTGGAACATTTTTGATAGCCTGATTGTGTTCCATGGTTTAGCAGAACTTTATCTAGCAAATATTCATGGAGTGGCTCTTTTTCAAACATTCAAGGTGGTAAGTAGGATCCAAGATCTCAATTTTATTTTATGAAAATTTATCTCAGCCTCCTCAGATACAACATGGGAAGAATAGTAACACTTATCCCACTGGGGTATTTGAAATAATAAATGAATGAATTTTTATGTAAAGAGCTTAGAAGTTGCCCCAGGAAGAATAAGCATTTTCCTGTCATTTGACCAAAACTTCAAAGGAAATAAGCTACATATGTAGCAAATTTGAGGTATAGTTTTAGGAAGCAGGACTAGAGTTACTGGTCAGTTGTGAGGAGCAGAATAATGTGGAGTCCCAGAAGCAGAATGCCAGTGTATAACTAAGGAATTTGAATGAGGTGAGTATTTCTAAATGTAGAGTTAGAAAACGTTAAAAAAGACCAGAAAGGCCAGGGGAATGTTATTATGAAAGTCTTTAAGTCAGAATTGGTATATATGCCTGTAATGTAGGGTAGTAGTAAGAATCAGAAAACTACCCAAGGAAATAATGTTATTAGAAGAATATATATGGGAATGTTACATACTTGATAAGTAATATATTCTTGTAAGAAGTTGCAGGAATGTAGCAGGAATCAAGCACAATTAAGCAGATTTGATCTTATCTAAATAATTCTTCAGAACACTGCCTTATGTCCTCATCTGTACATTTTTCTCATCAGTAAGATAAATATATGTGAGATGTACCTATCAAATTTATGGATGAAACAAGACTGGTAAATACCAAAAAAAGATAAAAGAGATAGTATCAAGGTATCTGAAAGGCTGGTGTGGATTGTATATAAATGATTCAGTTTTACATGGATAAATGTGAAACCCTACTTTTGAGTCCAGAAAGACAACTATATACTAGAAAAAGTTGGGGAAGGTATAACATATATAAAAGGGGATGTTTCAGTTTTAGATGACTAAGTTCACTGTAATATGGTGGCTAAAATTTTAAGGTAATCCTTCCCTGTATCAATAGAAATAAAAAAATCTAGTGAAAACAAGAGAAATATCCAGACTAAACTGACCAGACTGCTGTGTTTGGTTTCTGATATGTTACTTTAAAGGAAAATACATAATAGAAACTTCAGTGGAATTTAATAGGACCTAACAGACTTTTTTCAATATCATCTATATGTCAGAATGTGGGAGAATTTCCTGTGTTGTAAAAAGCGAAACAAAGAATGGATAGTTGCCCTACGAGATATTAAAACATAAAACTAGAGTAATTATAATCACATAATAGTGAATGGAAATTGACAGATCAACAGAAAAAGATATGTATAGATCTAGTGTAAAAAATACAGAATATATATGATGTATTAAGAATTGTATAAAATAAATTTTCAGTGGTTAGTATTAACAATACTTAAAACTGAGTATTACATTAAAGACTACATATGTAGTGTATAATGCTGATAAAAATCTTAAATGAAACAAGATGGGATTGGGAGGGAGACAAACCATAAGTGACTCTTAATCTCACAAAACAAACTGAGGGTTAATGGGGGGAGGGGGGTTGGGGGGGGGGGATTATGGACATTGGGGAGGGTATGTGCTATGGTGAGTGCTGTGAAGTGTGTAAACCTGACGATTCACAGACCTGTACCCCTGGGGATAAAAATATATTATATGTTTATAAAAAATAAAATTAAAAAAAAATCTTAAATGTACATCATAATAAATAGTGACCAAGTTTTTCGTTGTTTCTTATTTTTGTTGTTTCTGGCATTGCTGTATTAGTTGAGAATTTTCAAGTTGGCAAAATACTGGCCAACGTTTAAGATTCTGATGCAGATTCTTAATATCTCCTTGGTGGCCTTGAAAGACTTGGTCCTGCTGTTGTTCACATTCACATTCTTTTCTGCTGTGGTTGGCCTGAAGCTGTTTGGTATGAGTTATGAAGCATGTGTCTGCAACATAGACAAAGACTGTCGTCTCCCACGTTGGCACATGCATGACTTCTTCCACTCCTACCTGAATGTGTTCCGGATTCTTTGTGGAGAGTGGATAGAGACTTTATGGGATTGCTTTAAGATAGCTGGCCAATTCAGTTGTATTTCTTTTTACATGATGGTCATTTTAATTGGAAACTTATTGGTAAGTAATCCATGCTTTTAAATTTTTCTTGAAAAACTGATGTAATGTAGTCTGGTATTTTCATGATGTCTGTTAACTGTGTTGTCTGATATGGTGACCTCTAGCCACATGTGACTGTCACTTGAAATACAGTGGTTCAATCTGAGATGTGCTACAAGTGGAAATATGCACTGGATTTGAAGTCTTAACCTCAAAAAAGAATGTAAATTATTTTATTAGTAATTTTTATATTGAGTGAATTTTAAAATGATGACTTTTTAATGTATTTAGTTAAATAAAATGTTAGTAAAATTAATTTCACCTGTTTTTAATTATGCTCTTAACGTGGCTACTAGAAAGTTGCGTAGGTGACATGCATCATATTTCTGTTGGATAACACTGCTGTATAACCTTGCTACTCAAGTAGCATTGGCATCATGTGGGAGGTAGTTATCAATGCAGACTTTTAGACCCCCTCCCAGACCTATGGAAGTAGAATCTACATTTTAACAATAACCCCACATTTTTATATGCACATTAAATTTTAAGAAGCACTTAAATGTAACACTGGTTGTCAAACTTGGCTGTACATTGGAATAACCTGGGGAATTAATAAAACTATAGAATGCCCTGGATCCATTCCCAGAGATTTTGATTTTATTGTTTTGTGGACATAGGCTGGTCATCAGGATTTTTTTAAAGGTTTCATTTGATTAAATTGCAGCAAAGTTTGAAAGTCATTGGTTTATTAAACTATTGTGCATTAACTAAAAGGTAAAGCTATCACTTTTAAATTCCCAGTGATTGAACTGTTGTTACGTGGATTGAATAAGTAGCTTTCACTTCTTCCAAGAAAAGGGAATGGCTTATAGAAGAAAACTGCTCTTACAGGAAGAAAAAATAAGGATTCACCATTTGGTTTTTATTTATAAAATCATAGAGATCAAATAGATTCTCCAAGAGTGAAAAAAAAATCACGTTAGACTCCATTGTATCTATTAGTGCCCTTCCTCATTGCTTCTATTTCCCCTTGGTTATAACCCCTGTCCACTTATCACTGCTGTCATTATGTTTAATTGTTGATTTACTTGTCTCAACCTTCCTTATTAAACTAAGCTCCACAAAGGAAAGGATTGAGACTATTCTCTTATATCATCAAAGCCTAGAACAGGGCTCAACCTGTAAAAATATTTCAATGACCTCTGCCTCTATAGCTATTGGTACACTTTCAATTTCCACTGACATAACCCTATTCTTACTGGCTGGGAAAAAAAGAAAAAAAAAAAGAAAACACAACCAGCATACATACCAGCATGCCTAATTAAAAATGTCAGAGATAGATTTCACTTCAGTTGTGGTATAACACATGTGCAAACAAGGTCATTAGAGACAGATCTTTGTATATCGCACATCTGTTTTCTGTACATCTGTCTTGCTGGCTAGTAGCTTCTGTTTTATCAAGATGGCTGCTGCAGTCTGAAGCTTCATGTGTTCATATCATGTCAAGTTTAATAGAAGAGAAATTCCTGTTTCATTCCTGGAAATCACAGCAAATTTCTCCTCTTATCTTATTAGCTCTGAGTCACATGTCTATTTGTAAACCAATCTCTATTGCTCAGGGTATGGAATACATTTATTATTTATTGTGCAGAGTGTAGAATATATTAACATATTATTATGTTAAGCTACTCAGGATCCTGTCCTGGAGCTGGAGTTGGCATCATTCCAGAGCCAAATCATACAACTGATAATAAGGGTGATTTCCCAAATGAAATGTAAGTTTCTATTCCCAAAAGGAAAGGCCATGGTTGATGGCTATTGACTTAAATAACACATACACATACATACACACACACACAAACACACACACTTCACAAAGAAAAAAAAATGCTGAGGCAATTATATAATTGTACTTCTGTTTCTTTGTTTTTGAACTCCACTCTGTTTCTTATTTTTCTCATTCCTACTGATCAGAAACTTGATGTCAGTAGGCAGAGGGATTTCAGGGTAAAATGGAGTTATAAGAGCCTCCATTTCCAATTGATTGGTCATCATATTGCTTGGCTTGCTGAATCTTTTAAACTTGATTCCTCTCAACAGTCATCCATGTGTGGGACATCATGATAATAATAACACTACAGTAAATACAAGGGGAAAAAAATCAAGGAGAGAATCTGTAAGGCTACAGAACTTTCCCCCTGTACTTCCAACTTGTTGCATTATAGCATTGTAATTTCACTTCAAAATTCGTGTAAAAAGAAGTGTTTCTCATTTTTTATTTTTTATTTATTTTTTATTTTTTTTAACTTTATCTTATTTGCCCAACAAAATTCCAACAGTGACTCAGCCTTAAGTGGAAACCTTAAAACATTATCATATAAAAAGCCAGTATTTAAGTGACTTTTAAATAGTTACATGTAGTGTTGAGTTGTAGAAAAAACAGTTCAGATCCAAGAAAACATGGGTTCAAATTCCAGTTGTATCATTTACTAATTAAATGGCTTTGTGCACATTACTCAGGCTCCTTAAGCCTGCAATCTCTAATAGGAGAATCCTTAAATGGTTATTGTAACTTAAAGTATATTAGCTAGCACTCTATAAATATTCATAAATATTTACTTTTTTAAGCTCTAGATAATTAAAACTCCCACATCTATAGAACATCTATAGAATTTTGTTAAAACATTATTTAGAAGTTTTAGTTATGCAAACTTTCCAAGTGTTTTCACTTGCAAGTTAAGTAGTTGCCACCAAGTGAATTGTGGTCTCTGGTTGAGGACTAGAAACATAAAAAGAAAAGAAACAGAAAAACAATATAAAATGCAGTTGTTTTTTAAAAATAAAAAATTGATGATAAATATGTATGTTGTTCTACATGTTTACATATTCCCAGATTAAATATATGTTAACATACAATTGCAACAGGGGCTGCCTGGGTGGCTCAGTGGGTTAAGCCTCTGACTTCGGCTCAGGTTATGATCTCAGGGTCCTGGGATCGAGTCCCACATTGGGCTCTCTGCTAGGCAGGGAGCCTGCTTCCTCCTCTCTCTCTCTCTCTACTTGTGATTTCTGTCTCCGTCAAATAAATAAAATCTTTAAAAAAAAAAAGATACAATTGCAACAATACTAAAATAGAACCTTCATACATGTTAAATTCCTTGATTACTAATGAAATAATTACTTGTACTTGAAAAATGCTTGCAAAATACTTAAAAAGTACTTGAAAAATAACAAATAAATCTTGAATCTTCCTTCTCTTCCATACTACTTTATTTTGATAGGAGTTACTCAATTTTTACCTAACAGATAGACATCCTTGAGGTAAAAGGAAGGGCAAATTTCAGGAGAGACATTTAAAGTTTTTTTTTTATATACATTATGTCATCTTTTGCTTTCTAGTACAAAAACAAAAAAAATATTTTGAATCTCTTTTTAAAAACACTGTGACTAGAACAAAGTTACTCTATACTTATGTAATATAATCTTTGTGTCTCCCTCTTCCTTCTTTATTAATACTCAAATAAGAAGTAGTCAATCCAGTATAGTTTGGTAATTTACACATTCTGTTTTTCTTTTTTAATTCTTTAAAAGACTATTTTTAATTCAGAGCACACTTGAACAGTACAGTAGCATCTTGTAGTATTGCAAAATTTTTCTTTATACCATAGTTCAGAGCATTTTGAATTTTGTTGTTAGCCTTTTAACATTTTCACTGTAAGTGTAAATCTGTAGATATTGTGTGTGTGGTATGTGTGTTTAAGATACAAGAAATCTTAGATTGTAAGCTTTTAAAAATACAACTATTATAGCAAAATTTTTCCTTGTCTAAATCCTGTCACAAAATCTATTCTTTCATTTATTCTATAATTAATTTTTTCAACAAATATGTATTTATCACTTATTTTGTGCCTAACACTGTGCTAATTGTCTACTTAAGAGAAAGCTTGGTTCCTGCTCACATGAAGCTTATAGCCATGAAATTCTCACCTAACATCCTTTCCTTATTTCTCGCCATGCCTAATAACCAAAGGAAGGAAAAGAAACAACCAACAACCTTAAATTATATTTAGTGTTGCCCTCTTAACATCCTAAACATTGTCTCTTAAGAATGATAGGAATCCTAATGATGTAATTTATACAAGGGCCATAGAGCCCCTGCCCATATCTGTAAGTAAAATGTATATTAGTATACACACACATACACATATATATGTATATATTCTTAAGTATAATTCATGTCATTTGAACTTGCCCATTAAAAGCAATTTGTAAAACATAAAGGAAATTAAATCATAAAAAGCTCAAATATCCAAAAAGGGGGCACCTGGGTGGCTCAGTGGGTTAAAGCCTCTGCCTTCAGCTCAGGTCGTGATCCCAGGGTCCTGGGATCGAGCCCCACATGGGGCTCTCTGCTCAGCAGGAAGCCTGCTTCCTCCTCTGTCTCTCTCTCTCTGCCTGCCTCTCTGTCTACTTGTGATCTCTGTCAAATAAATAAATAAAATCTTAAAAAAAAAAAAAACCAAATATCCAAAAAGAGGCAGATAAACTTCCATAACAAACAAGATACTCAAATTATTATTTTAAGTCTAAGAGAATTATCAATATAAATCTCCAACTCTAAACTCCAAAAATATTATCTATGTCTTACAATTATAAAGAAGATAAAAATATGATTCTCTAGAAACTAAGTATGGCTTGATCATATCTTTCAGTGATAATAAAGGTCAAAATATACACTTCCTTGAGTTTAAATAACTTACAACTATTAGGTATGATTCTTCCATCACTCATCTCTTTCTTATTTAATCAAATTTATTACTACAAAGAATTAATTAACCTACCCAGTGCCTGTGCTAGCCTGTCACAAGAAAATTTAGATGCAGGCTTCAGAACCAGGAATAGCTCTTTCCCCATGATATTCCTTGTGGGTTTGCAGAACCCATGGACATGTCATTGTACATCATCCTGGGATAGAGCTGAAATGGTCTGCCACCTGAAGAGGCAGCCTGTTTTCTCATCTTGGAAGAGGTAGCCTGGCTCAATGAAGGAAAACAAGCTTTGGAATAAGACAGACTCAAGTCCAATCTACGTGACCTGAGATATTTGACACCTATAAGCCTTGCCTTTTTCATCTATAAAAGAGAAACAAATGATATGTCATTGAATGTTGTGACCCTAAGATGAGTTCTGGCCGTACAAAGTCTTAGCACATCGACCCACTGTAAGAACTGAATAGCCTAAATAGCATTAGAGTTTGTATTGTGTTTGCAAATCTCGGGAAAACTTTAAAAAAAAAATGTTTATTGTTTAGAAGGAAACAAAAAGTGAGATAAGCTTAACCTCATTTACTTCCTCATTTAGATAATTTACCTGTTTCTGGCATTGGTGAGCTCATTTAGTTCCTACAACCCTGCAACTACTGAAGAGAACAACGAAGCAAAAAATCTCCAGCGTGCAGTGGCGAAGATTCAGAAAAGAATAAACTATGTGATTTCTAAAATATTATGCAAAAACCAAAATGTTTCAAAGGAGACAATGGACCATGTAAATGCTGTATATGTTAAAGAGAATATTTCTGACCATACCCTTTCTGAATTAAGCAACACTCAAGAGTTCCTCAAGGATAAGGAAAAAAGCAGTAGCACAGAGAAAAACACAATGACTGAAAACGAGAGTCAATCACTTATCCCCAGTCCTAGTGCCTCAGAAACTGTACCAATTGCTTCAGGAGAATCTGATATAGAAAATCTGGATAATAAGGAGGTTCAAAGCAAGTCAGGTGATGGGAACAGCAAAGAGGTAAGTTGTTTGAATATTCTGATTGCTTGTTGTTGGTTTATGGCATTGTAGTAAGAGAGTGGATTAGTGCTGAAGTTACAGTTGAAGAACCCAGTCAATCCTAGCTACAGCACTCCTTGCTCCTGACTGTACGCTCTTCATTAAGTTAATTAACTTGTCTAAACTTCAGTTTCCTTGTCTATAAATTCAGATAAAATTGAATCTATTTCTTAGGGAGGATAAGACTAAGAAAAATAGTTCAATGGTCCATAGAACAATGCCCAGTCTATAGTGAACACTTGGTAAAATAAGATAATATCATTAAAAAATTCAGTAAATCAATAAGCAGGCAGTATGGGATGATGTAAAGCTATTGAAGAAAGTTAAGTTTTCAAAATCAATGTGTATTATCAGAGAAATCAAACTCTCCTGGGCATTATCATCTTTGAAATGTGAGACTCGACTACAGGAGGGCTAAAATACTTTCCTACTTGCTAAAATTCTAGGATTCTTATCACTTTATTTCTGCAACATTTACTATAACATATATAATTGAGCTAGACTAAAAGAATAAAGAAAACTCACCAGCTTGAATTGTGAACAGTGTGTGGTTTTATCAATTCTGGGACAAACAAAACAAAATGGAAAAGCAACAACAACAAAAAACCCAACACATTCAAAAAAGCATAGATATTGCTGTTAACTTAGCTTCTAAAATGCACACTGGAATCAATCTTAGTGTCTTCATGTGCAAGCACTATATCTTAGTAGGAGGTGTAATTTAATGGAAAGCTACATCTACAGAGATCATGTCTTCTCTCTGAGCTTGTACCTCGGTAGAGAGGTACTTGCATTGTACCATCTCAGATCACTCACAGGCACTGGGGAGGAAAGACAATGTCTCTTTCCACATCCCAAAAATCTCTGGCACCATCTTGTCTCCCGGATCTCTTCCAGCTTGGCACCTATTCTGCAGTAACTTCTCAAATTGGCCTAAAAGGAGTTGAATTGTAATTATTCAAAATCCTTCTAGCTCCTAGTGAAGGCATCTATCTTTGTGTTAGAGAAACATTTTCACTCTTTAGCATGCCCAATATTTTTAGGTTCATTTTCCTTTAAATAATGCCATTTCTAGAAAACAGGGAAAACTCTTCTCCAGCTACACTTATGTGTCTTCACTTACAACTTTGTCTACCATTTATTTCTGGGTAAAATTGCTATTCATCACCACACATCATATTGAGATGCTCCAGGAAACTTCTTGCCAATCTCAATAGAAAGTCTGGGATATGAACATATATAGGAAAGATGATACTAAATATATTTGTAAATGGTGAGGTTTCAGGAGTTGTAATTTATGCTGCATAATTATTTGGTCCTGTTGATTGATTAGCTACTCATAGATTTATTCAGTTAACTGTACATTTACTTACATATTTAATTTAGACACTTGAAAGATTATACAACCCATGAGTACTTTAGGATTCTGATCTACTAAAAACTGAAGAATATAAAATCACATGTGATCTGATAATTCTGAGATACAGTCTCTTTCTTTGGTATTTAAACTCTCAGCCATTTTTTAGTTGCAACATAACTAAATTTATATAGTTATAAAAATAACATCAAACTTTACATTGGGTTTTATAACTTTTTTCATAATGTAGAGGTATAGCATGGTCAGTCTCCCATGCTATTAAGTAGTCTTCTAATAAAATTATTTATAATTTTGAATCCCAATTGATTTATTTTTAAATTAGAATAATACATACTAAAAATGCTTAGAAAAATCACATCAAATAATTTATGCACAAATTCTAAAATTACTTAAATATAAGGTGTATAATTTTTAATTATTGAATGCATAAGGATTATATAATGTTCATTTATTGTTTACTTTCAAATCAGTACATGGCTATACCCTTTATTTTATCAGAAATAAAGAAAATATGAAGAATTGATATAATAAAGGCAATTTGTTTGGGAGTAATCTCCTGATGGATATATTTTTTTAATTGAGTACCAAATGTCTTACTGACAATTGACCATGTATGGTCCAAGACAAACAGAGCTTCCTAATTATATTTCTTTGACATTTATTGAGGATAAGACCAATAGGTAGGACACAATATTTACAAATTTCCTTTTGGTATACTTCACTTAGATCTTTCCTTAATTTTTAAGAAATAAGTGTTTTTTCCAGATGTTTTACTACATTTATCTTGTTTTTTAGTTAGAAAATAATCTTCCTTACTAACTTTAAGATCTTGGTCATTTAAAGGATGGTGTGTTGTATATTTATTTTAAAATTAAGTAATATAAAGCATTGTGAGAAAATGATTTCAAGTAAAAGCCACGCATGTCTCATGCATTATTACCACATATACAAAGTCATGGCTATCTTATCTTATCCAGGGTTGAGCTTCAGTCAAGAGCAGAGTGCGAAAGAATGCTAATCTCTGCAAATAGCTTCTCTCCATAGTGCTAGTACAACTTTGCCAGGTCTGTTCCTGACCCTTATTCTTTGGGCCATTTACTCATTTCACCTCAGGGTAACCTCACATCAGTCCTGTCCTATGATGGTAAACACAAGAATATCTGGACTAGATTTTACCAAACAAAACTAAGTTCATTCTTGTCTACCCATATTCAGCATCAAGGGGTAATTTATTCTGATACTGCTCATCTAGCGGAAATGGCATATATGCAAACCTTGTGAGTAACTTCAAGAGAGCTTTGAAACTCAAAGCCTTTTGGATACTGGAGATAGAGAATCCTAGACATCTTTAAGGAGAACAGTGTTGTGAACTGAGTGCTAATTATTTTAGCTTAAATGAATTCTTAATTTTTTAGAACTTCAGCTCACAGAGATATGCATGCATTTTAATGTCTGTCCTGAAATTAGTCTAAAAAGTCTTTAAACCTGTTAAAAGTCTTTCTATACACAATTTTTCTTATTTATGAAGATGAAATAAACTTGAACTCCAGTGAGAAGCTTTAATCACAGCTTTCTTGGTGGGACTTTACTTTTCAGAAGGTAAAGCAATCTAGCTCATCGGAATGCAGTACAGTTGACATTGCCATCTCTGAAGAAGAAGAAATGGTTTATGAATGCGAGAAGCCAAAACATCTGAAAAACGGTAAGAAAAAAATAAGTTCTTTTGATCATTATATTGAAATTACACTAAATTTCTCTTAACCTAACTAATACGATGGGATATATTTTAATTTTAGAGTTTATTAATTTGGTTAAGGAACACACACACACACAAACATGTGTGCATCACATGCACACATGCCTGTATGAATCCTGATCAAATTTATAGGGAATTTCAATAGAAAAGTGAACATTTGGAAAAGAGGGAGAGAACCTAGTTCCTAGGAAGTTTAATAGAGTAGTTAAGAGCTTTCTGGAACCAGATAGCCTGAATTCAAATCCCAGCCCACCACTGACAAGCTTTTACTTACCCTCTCTCAGGCTCATTTCCTAATATGTAAACTGAGGATAATAATAAAACTTACAGGATGGTAAAAAGATTAAATAAGTATACACGTATGTGTGTGCATTCATGGATGCGTGTGTGTGTATACTTATGCTTCACGGAATACTGTCAATATTCAAAATACCTATATGAAAACTTCTTGTATCTTTCATAGGAAAACAAATCATGTAATGGTGATTTATTTTTTTTAAAGATTTTATTTATTTATTTGACAGACAGAGATCACAAGTAGGCAGAGAGGCAGGCAGAGGGAGAGGGGGAAGCAGGCTCCCCGCCGAGCAGAGAGCCCAATGCAGGGCTCGATCCCAGGACCCTGAGATCATGGCCTGAGCTGAAGGCAGAGGCCTAACCCATTGAGCCACCCAGGTGCCCCAATGGTGATCTATTTTTATATCCCACATGAATATGAAGAAATGTATAAGACTTCAGTCAGTTGATTAACTCATGAGATATGTAACATACATATAATTCTAATTAGTTTCCTAGCAAGATTAACAGATAATTACAGGTTCTGGACATTGGAAATCATCAGAATGGTAACTGCTAAGTGCTCAAATTTCTGTATTCAAACCAAGAACTTGCTCTCAGTAGCTCAACTTTTAGGACTTGTATCATTCAAGACACAGGAGGAAACATTTCTGATAGTTTTTTCCCCCAAAGATATATAAATTGACAGTAGGTAAAATTCTAAAATGAAATGCATTGACTTTAAACTTCATTCACCTCTCTTTCTTCGTTTTCTCCCCTGTTAAGCACTGTCTTCTCAATTCTCAGATTTTCTTTTAGCTAACTCTCTTAACCAGAAGGCAGAGTCCAACCCATGCACATGTACTCTACCCACAAAGTACTCTGTAATCCAGGGGAGGTCCTCAGATAATCTCAATCAGAATCCCTATTCTCATGCCATCTAAGACCTGACATCAATTTAACTGACTTTAACTAATGTTATACTTATTAACATTTCATAAATATCTATGTACTTAAATGAGAGTGTTTATTATGCCATGTAAATCTTCAGAGAATGAACTTTCAGGCATCATACCAAAATGTGATATGTAGATGTTGTGTGTGTTGGGGGATGGTTTGGTTGTGTTTTGTTTTGTTTTGTTTTGTAGGATGGGGGACAAATTCTGTTCTCAGACTTTGTCCCACAAGACTAAGGAATGTTCTAAGTCACCTCTGCCTCTCACAATTTCTTCCTCCTACTGTTCACAAACTACTCACAAGTTTTTCTTTTCTTTCCTCAGTGACTTCAGTGGTCACAGAAACAGGGGTAAAAATCAAATGTTTCTAAGTCAGAGAGCACCTGTATTAGATTCTGTAAATACCTAATTGCTAAAGCATATAGTAAGCTTTTTCATGACTTTTCAAGATTTTTCCTCTTAGTGCTTTCATTTTTGACAGGTTATAGAAGAAGATCTTCACCTGGCCAACTTAGTAGAGCATCCAAGAAAGGAAGAATTTGGCAGAACATAAGGAAAACCTGCTGCAAGATAGTGGAAAACAGTTGTTTTAAGTGTTTCATTGGCCTTGTCACACTGCTCAGCACAGGTGCTCTGGTAAGTAAGTATGAGAGACTTTTATGGGAAAAAATGTATTTGAAGTCTGCTACTTGAAGTCATCATGCCAAATTAGTTTTCCGCAGAACGCTTATTATACAACAACGTTCATGATTTTACTTTTGGAAGACATATATTGCAGTTTCTTAAAATCTGTATATACCTCTTTCAATATTAAATAAAACAATTTTGAAATATGTGAATGACAGTGGCAAAAATGAATGTTAGATACCTAATACTTATTTTAATAAAGTTTTATTTTTGAGATAAACTTTAGTAATATGCACATACATACTGTTGTACTGTGCTAGTACTTCGGTACCAATTCAATCAGGAAAGAGAATTGCTATCTATACTTTCAATGACCTTTGAACCAAAAATGTATTCACCTATTGAGCCAACAACCCTAATTCTGGGAAATTATCCTATAAATATCTGAGCATGTATTAAAGGCATTTACAAGGCGATTCACTGAAGAATTCTTTGTAATAGAAAAAGATTGAAAAGCAAAAACAGTCCATAATAAGTGATTGTTTAAATGTGCTGTAGTACAATCTCCCTATGGATACTGTGCAGCTATTTTAAAAATATAAAAACTGGGGTGCCTGGGTGACTCAGTCGGTTAAGCCACCAAATCAGTTTTAGCTCAGGTCATGATCTCAGGGCCCTGAGATACAGCCTCAGGTCAGGCTCCCTGCTCAACAGGGAGCCTGCTTCAGGATTTTCTCCCTCTGCCCCCTTCCCCTGATCTCTTACTCTCTCTAAAATAAACAGATTTTTTAAAAAAAATACAAAAGCATGATGATATTGCAAGGTACAGTAATAAGTGAAAAAAGGAAGATTTAGAATAAAATGTATCTGTTAGTTGTTTATTAACATTCATGTTTCCCACTGTCATTCATTTATTTTGAAATTGTTTTATTTAGTTAATACTGAATGAGGCATGCTAGGTTTTACATAAAATAAAGAAAATAGAATGTATATTATTTGCTTGTATTTGATTGAAGAGGATCAGAGAAGGATACACAGCAATAGTTAATTGTGAAATCATAGAGCAGAGAAGATAGAGTCACAGCTGGGAACCAGACTTTACATTGAATACATTTCTTAAGTAAACTTTGTATTGACGTTTAGCACAGATACTGAGAACCGTGTTGAAATTCTAAGTGTATAGACTAAAGAATTTTCACAAAATGAGTGCACCTGTGTAACTGCTGCTTAGTTTGAGGAATAGACATTACCAGGACTCCAGAACCACATACTCTGACCCCTAACAATTACTTCCACACTCCACACGGGTAGCTGGTATGTGGACTTCAACTGCCAATAGTTTAGTTTTGCCCATTTTTTATGTTTTTTTAAATGGAGACTTTTTAATATTTTATATTATTTTGCATTATATACTATTTAATAAATAAATACATATAATAAAATCCTTTATAATCATTTTAGATATTTATGATTTGCTTGTATAGACACTTTTACTCCATAATTGGTTCAACTGAAAGTCAGTAACTCTACTGTCATGATCTATTTACTTTTATTTAATGTTAGACTTATAAGAATCACACCGTTATTTGTATATGATTATTCTTTTTTTTTTTTTTAAAGATTTTATTTATTTATTTGACAGAGAGATCATAAGC